TCAAATCTAACTAAGATAAAATATTTCTTACATGAAGTTATGAAGATGCACCAAATTTAAAGTTTATACTGAAATTCTACATCAAATGATTTCAAATTGACAAAATAAAGGAGCGAAATAACCAATTTTTTAATCAAATCTTAAAAAAAATTAAAAAGTTTCTTATATAAAATTACAATGATATATCGAATTTCAAGTTTACAACCAAACTTTACATCGAATATGTTCAAAACAACAAAGCTAAGTATCAAAAGGAGTAAATCATTGCAAATAATCTGATCTTTCTGGTTGATTTAATTCAGATAAAATGCCTTACAACAATATTATGTATTGGTATTCATGTATTGGTTCAAAATGGCAAAGTTAAAGAAGTAATCTAATAAATCATTGTGCGCTATCTGGTTTTTTTAATCGATTTATATCAAAATATATCAAGATAACAACATAGCATTTATTTTAATAAAATTTTATTGTAAATAAATTTAAGATTTAATTCTTTTTAAGTTTTGAATTACAAAAATGTTATCAAAAAAAAATGAAAACATTCTTCATCAATAATTATAGTTATTTATTTCATAAAAAAAAACCTACAACAACTTCAATTACGCTGTTTAATAATTATTTCTCATAAGATATTTTTAGCATGCAATACAAAGAATGACGACATTCATTACATTCTTAATCAAAGAATGCAACTACTTACAAAGTAACAACCAACATTTTCTTATACTAAACTTTTAAACATTTCAAATCGTTTCCTAAAACTTTTAACTTTAGTTTTTTTTTTAAATATATTTTGAAATCGATTGGTAAAAGTAATTTCGAAAAAACACAAAAACTTTCCAGACCACTCTTTTCCTTTTCTATACAAACACTCAAAAGTATCTTGACCGTGCCGAAAAGCCAGAAAGAGTAAAAACGACGTACGTCTTTTCAAAAATAAAACGGCTTATTCTCGGTATGGTGTCTCCTTTTTTTCTTTTCTCTTTTGATGAATGTACAAAGGGATGTTACGATTAGATACGGATCATTATTTTTAATTTTGCTACCTGACGTGCTTCTTCGTCTTAGAAACCGGAGATTAAAACTGCATCGATCGAACGTAGTTGAGATTAATTTTATTAATTTTTAATAAATTTAATTGAAGGCTTTTCGTTTATCCTTTAATGTAGAGGGGGCTACGTTATAAGAAAGAAAAGAGTTCTAAGTGGTTTTCGTTCGATTCCCGGTTCTTCTCCGACGGTTAAAATCTATTCCAAGGGAAGTTATAGAAAAAAATAGAAATTCAATTTTAATTTGCCGTTTAATTAACAGAGATTTAAAGATAAATATTTTTTGTTGTAGAATATGTTGTGATGGTTGAATTATTTATTATTAAGTTGTTTTAGAGTTTAATCGCGAAACATCCTGTATGCAACGTGCAATAGGCTTCAAGGTTGAAATACATTAAAATTACCGTCCTAAGAAAACAAATCCGCTTCCTCTGTAAACTTTAAAAAGGACCCCGTTAAAGATAAATAATACTTAAACAAACCACATTTTCAAAATAAATTTTGAGGGATTTCATTTTTGAGATAAAATACGTTTTAGATTTTTCAAAAATTAAAGTTAGTTTTCATTATTTTCTAGGTTTTAGATAAAATTGTGATCTTGAAGAACCCTCTTAAATTTCATGATGTTTTATTTCATTTTATGTTCTCTTTATAATTGGTTGCAATAAAATTTTGATGTATAAATAAAATTGGATTTGATTTCTATATTCTAAAAATAAAAATTTCAATTCCACAATAACTCTTTACATTTTTTTTAATACATAGCTCATAGATAGAATCAAACTCGGATTATTCCCCAAGTTACTCTATTCAATAAGCTCGATAAACTCGGGGTTTTCCCCGAGTTGTCTATACGATGTATAAATTAAGGACGGTAGTTCTAGTTTTAGTTGTTATTTAGTGCTAGATTGTTGTATATTTTCATTGAACTAACCTAGCACTAACACTAGACCTAGAATTAGAAACATTCGGCTTTAGCCGTCTTAAGAGACGTACGGCTAAACCCGAATGTTTCTAGTTCTAGGTCTAGTATTAGTTCTAATGCTAGGGTTAGTTCTTGTTTTAGTAGTTATTTAGCGTTAGATTGTTGTATATTTTCATTGTATTAAAACTAGAACTACTGTTAGTTCTAAGTCTGAAGACGCACGGCTAAACCCGAAACTTTCTAGATCTAGGTCTAGTGTTAGTTCTAGTTTTAAATGCTATTCAGCGTTAGATTGTTGTTAAATAATGAGTTAATATCATATAAAGCACTAAAATTGTAGTAAATCATAAGACGTAATCCATATTAGCAAATGTTTTGTCAAAACAGAATTCAGAATGACGCATGACGATAGTCTGAGAACTGTCTTTGGACACCATTCAATACAACAACTTTATGACACAAATCATATGATCTGTTCAGAAGAGAACTAGAACCAAAAACAATAAACTTGGTCGTCATCAGGGTTCAGTACAAAATGCTGCTCAGTTCTGCACCTCAACCTGTTTGAAACTTGTTTAGATTACCGTTAAGTTGGCCGATGGTACCACAAAAAGCTGCAACTCTGCTTATTAATACCACAACATACATGCATACCAATCTAGAAGAAGGATAAACTCCTGTTTATGCATCCTGAAACACATTTTATGCACATCAGACTGAAAATCTCGCTTAGATCTTATTTTAAACAAGGAGGCTAATAGAAAGCGAGGAGACTACCAAAATTACAGAGTACAAGAACAGTTAGTTTTCGATCCATGATTTTCACCAGAGTGATTCAGCCAGGCATAGACGAAAAATGTGAGTCAATCTATAACAGAAAAGGAAAAAATTAAATACTAATACATACCACGAAGACCAACAATTTGATAATTTACCAGTAAATTGGATATAATGATGTTGGCATCAACATGACGGCGCAATTGCGTTTTTTTGTTCAAGAGTGAATTCATCTAACACATTCTTAGCAAGGCTTTTTACTGCATTTGGCTTTTCTTTCAATCACTATTACTTTGTTGTTAAAAGTTTTGAGTAACACCTTGCACTTTTCAATTACAAGGTTGAATTTACCAATTTAATGTTTTGTTATTGTGTTAGCGCGCAATCATTAATATGTGTAAAAAGGATGTAATTAGAGTAACGAACGGTAATATTGAAAAATGATCGAGTTGGGAAGTCATTAATCTTGAATTAGCGTTATCTGATATATAACTTGGATGGATTAAGTTTTATACAACCTGGAAACGCAATCTACTTCTAATATTGAGTCTATTTGCTTTTATGGTACACATAATAATGCAAAACTTTAGCGTCGGAAGAAAAAATAATTAATTGATTCATCTTATAAAAGATACATCTATACTCAATCTTATGATTAAAAAGGAAGGAATTTGAAGCTCATATTTAGGACCTTCATGGACGCTTGTCGGCCAATTATCATGTACGAAACATCATAATACCAAGGAAATGATTACCGTGTTTATTAACATAGACCGATTCGTCTACCTAGGAGTGTAAATGTGTAAACATTTTTATGCATAGATAATAGCATATTGACGTCTTTCTGGTTACTTCTTACTTCACTTTTTTAATGTAAAAAATCATTCTGTGCAAACATGTTGTCCACTTCTATTTTTATGTTTAACCGTATTGCAATAGTTATTTTTTTTAATGAAAAACATTAATAGAAATAGTGAGGTACATACAAACGATACATATTTTCTGTAAGTTTCCAACATTCTCAACGACTTCCCTTGTTTTCGTGTTTTTATCTTTGTAGTTGGTATTAATCAAGGATGCATAATGTCCAGGAGGTAGTCCGTCTCATAATTTATCATAACAAAAATCTTTCTTTCGCTTTTTCCAAGCATTTCATGCAAGCTTTTAATTCGAGTTGCTTCTTATTGCTGGGTCAAAAGAATATGAACTTTAATCGTTTTCTGACCCACATAAAACCTCCAACATTTTTGTGCAAACCTAATTATCACAACATTTTCTGACCACTTGGTTATTTACCACAAATTGTCAATATGTTTGATTGGATTGTTTCTTATCTTTCTGCACAATTTTCGGCAAAGTCCAACATGTTATTAAACTTTGTATTTTCAATATTTCTTGATTCCACAATTTCTATTTCAAGTTTTAAAAGCAGTTTTATTGTGGTGCTTTAATCTGCATAATAAAGAACCCATTTTTAATTTCTAAGTAAATGCATCTGCAATCTCTTCCAACCTAACATTTCATTTTTTTCCTGAGTTGTCAAAAAAAATTGTATTCGATCATAAAATTATGGCTAATTAAATCAGCCAAAAAATAGTTGTGGGAACTATTTTTAAATTATCAATTATCAGCCATGTTGGAATGGGATTTGCAAAAATTAGTGAATTTTGTTACTGATTTAAAAAAACAAGATTATACAAACATTATGTAATATTCGATTGACGTTTATCCCTGTTAATTAAAGAACTCTCGACATACATGTTTTTGAAGGCTATAAAAAGATTCAAATGAAATTTGTTTTTAATCTTAGAAAAAATTAAAAAAGTATAATTATATATCAGGCAAATTATAGAATAAATTATTTTGCTATTAATGTCATTCATATTTTAATCTTGTCTAATTACTCTAATAGGTGTAATTAACCTGCTAAATTTATGTTGTATGATTACTTACTAAAAAAAAATATTTAATCCTATTTAGACTGTCTTATAATCTTTTATTACGTCTTCACACCGGTGATAAATACAGATTACAACAAGTTATCGCTGAATTCTACGTATTTTTCGAAGTTACATCTTCAGGAATTCTTTCCTCACCGTGGATTATCATATTTATCATAAATGTGTTATTTAATAGTAATAGACTTAAATAGATGGCGGTAAAAAGAATTCAAAAACCCAATTTAATTCATTTCCTTCTATTTTTTTGACTACAATTTAACTCATTTTTTTTTTAATTTGTTACAGATCTCAACATTACGATAACTTGCAAGCTGACCAACAAAAACAGCCGCTAAAAGACACAACAAACACCACCTCGCCATCTAAACAACACAAATTAAATAATAACGAGGAACATCCGCAAGAACAACAGCCGGAATCAACTCTAAGAGAAGGCGACAACCAACAACAACAACAGCAAGGCAGCCGTTCGCTGCAGTGTTTGGAGACTTTGGCCCAAAAAGCCGGGATCCATGATTTATCTATAGACGATTGTAAGTACGATGCGGCCAACACCCTGTTGAATTTGGACAGGGCGTTTGATACGAATAGAAATCATCAACAGGAAGTAAACAATATGAGCGAGATAAAGAATCAACAGATTGTGGATGCAAATAACCAGGCTCAAGCTCAGGCTCAAGCGCAAGCTCAAGCGCAGGCTCAAGCTCAAGCCCAAGCTCAAGCTCAGGCCCAAGCGCAAGTTGTTCAACAACAACAGGCGGCGATGCAACAAGTTGCGCTTCAACAAAGCGCTGATCAACAGACGTTAGTTCCGGCTCAAAGTCCTCAACATTTACAACAAGTTGCTGTTGCTTCTTCCGGCGGTCAATGCATTCAAGCGAATGTTTCGATGGGACCTCCTCAACATACTGTTTCGATGCATCAACAAGTTGCTCCTGGCGGTCAAGTTATACAAACTCAAGGAGCTCAGGTTCTTACTGCGGCAGCTCCTCAATCCAATAGTACCACGATTACGACAATGTCGCCGTTGCAGCAAGCTCAAGCGACGAGTCATGCCCAACAAATCAGCACGGATTGGGGACACTCAAGAGTTCAAGTTATACAACAACCTTTACAGAATTCCCCGTATGTTCAACAGTTTTATAACGCCCAAGGACAGTTGTTGTTGCCTGGAAATATACAGTTACATCCAGGAATTAATCCTCAACAAATACAAGTTATAACAAAACCGTTGCAACAGAATCAGTTGCCGCATATGTTAACTACCACCCAAGGAAAACAAGTTCTGCAAGGAAGTAATACAGCTTTTCCTGGGTATACAACAATACCCACAATTCCTACAACGCAAAACCAACAAACCTTGGTTTTTGGACAAGTTGGTGTTATCGGATCTCAACCTAATATTATTCCTTCACATTCTGCACCTGGTAATGTTATTGCTCCTCAGAAACAACAAGAAATGCATAAGGTAAATAGATATCTAATTGAAAAAGGATTTTTTTTAGAGGTCTGAAAATTATTGTGTTGATCTCTAAGTAAAATTCTTGATTAATATTAATACGAAATTTATTAGGCTTAATCAAGAGTTCTGCAGTTCCAAATGGTTCTGAACCTTTCTGCGCAGAAAGATTTAGAACTACAGAACTCTTGAACTAAAACGTCTTAATTTTTTATTTTTCCGTTAAAATTAAAGAAAAATTTGCTTTCATTTAGGTCATGGGTGGTCAAAAAGTGATTCAAAAAGTGGCTAGCAATGGAGGTGCGGTAACTGTGGCCCCGCAGCAACAGGGGCAATGTGTACAAGTCTCGCAAGCAATGATAGGAACTCAACCTACCGCTCAAATAATAAGTCCACTTCAAGTATGTTGTTAATAATACTTATTATTCTTTGCGTTTTAAATTTTCAAACCGCTTCGAATTCATTGCTAGTACACTTTACTTAATTCTTAAAAATGAAACGGACGTTTTTGAAAATTTAAGTTATTTACTTAGAAATCTTAACATTTGATTTTTGTTAATAGCCCAATGGACAACCAATGCAATTTACTCCATGGCAATTTCCTCAAGTATGGACAACAAATGCCATACAATCATCGACTTTATTGCCAAATCCGATTTTTATAAGAGGAACTCAACCAGATGGAACACCCGGGATGTTAATACAACAAAGTCCTCAAGCCACGACGATTCAAACACAACAAAATCGTAATATTAAAAAATAAAATAAAACAAGTTGAGATTGATTGATTACTTTGTTTAATATAGCTGTCGCAACTGGTGCAATGCCGCAAATTGGAGCTAAACCACGTCCAACAACCGAAAACATCCAACCAAAGCAAGCAATAAACCGACCGTTAAGCATTTTGCCATCGAACACCGCAAATATCAGACCCGCCAGTTCGGTATCAACCCAAACAATAGGCGCTCAAGCTCAGGTAACAAAACCAAAACCATCTCATATTCACTCATAAACGAGTTAATATTTTTTTTTATATTTATTTATTATGGCATACCAAACGTATTTAATTTCCCTTTGAACTCTCTCTTCAATAGTTTTGCGTTTCCCAGGTTGGAATGGCCGCGAAACCTGCTGCTAAAGTACGAACGAAAGCTCCCGGAATTCGTACTCCACCCGCTCCGAAAGCGGACGCCGCGAATCAAACCCAAATAAAACCATACTCAAATCTCCAACACCACATCGTTTCAAATAAGATGTTGGTAATGAATAATCCCGCCACTTCAATAGCCATGACACCCGGTTCTCCCGTTGCAACGGATAAAACGCAACAGGTTGTCCAAAAAACGACCACCGTCACTCAACAACAAGCCCACACTCAACCGCAAACTCAACAAACCGTTTTAATGCAACAAGCGTTCCAACAACAACAATTACATCAAATGCAATTTCAACAGCAACAGCAGCAACAACAACAACAAGCCGGACAACCTACGCATATTCAACCTAAACCAATCATGGGTAAGAAAAAATAAATAAAAATAAATTAAACAGTTTATTTTGAAATTTATTTTATTTAAAGCTATGTCAGCTATTCAAGGAATTCAACAACAACAAATTATTGCTGGTGATCGTCCAATTATGCCCGTCGTTTCAATGTCTGCACAGCAAGGGACTCAACAAATCCAACAAACACTTTCTGGACAAATGCCTCAAGGATTAACACTTCAACCGAATTTAGCAGTTACTCAACAAATGCCAATGGGAGTTCAACAAATCCATTCGGTAAGATATTTTTTTTTCTGAATTAAATTTTGTTTAATTAATTTTATCTTATTTAATTAAAATGTTTCATTCCCAATTAGTTAGCACAAATGACACAATCAGGAGCGATTATTGGTCAACTTCAAACTCAACAAACACTTCCGCAAGTAGCCGCGAATCAATCGCAACTCCAACAGCTCCAACAAAACGGACAGACGATAACGATATCTCCTCCACAACAAGTTCAATTACCAGCTCCAGTTCCTAATTTAAAAGAAGATGCTTCCGGGGAAACCCCCGTCGATTCAGTTCAAAATATTACATCTGCAACGATAGTTGAGGCACCAAAAGAAAATGGAATTGAAGGTAAGTTTTTTGATGTACTAAAAAGTGATTGCGAAGAAGAGGGGTGATAGTAGTTATGGTTAGATGAAGAAGGGTAAAATTATTTAAGTGATTAGTAAAGTTTTTAGGGTGTTATTTTTTTGTATATGTTCACAGTTGTGAGTGCCCCCTTCAAAACAACCAATACTGCTGTTGCCTTTCGTTTAGAATACAAATCTCCAGGTATGTACTTAAAAAAATAAAAGAAAAAGTCAACAAGATATCAAGGAATCAATCTCCAAGTTGAATTGGTTAACAAAGCGTGTTAGGTTTCGTTAAACTCATTGGAAATTTTCTTTTATTTCAAATGACTCATAAAAAATTTTCTCCCCATCTAGTAAACAAACTAAAACGTCTAAAGTTTGTTTTCGAATCATTTCTTTTCCAGCACCCGGTCAACAACTAACTGATCTAAAAGCGGAAAATGTGAACGTAGTTGAACCTGCAACGAATTCCGCAACTATTCAACCAACTCCAATTCCTGGAACAGTACCAACGCAACCAGCTACAAGTTCCCAAGAAAATACGCTTCCCGTTGCTGCGACTGCCGAAGAAGTTAAAGAAAGGTGTCCTCCGAAAGCGATGGTTAAACCGCAAGTTTTAACTCACGTTATCGAAGATTTCGTTATTCAAGAATCTTCGGAACCATTTCCAGTTGTTCGCAATACTCTGTTAAGTGATCTCAAACCCAACGCTGTTAATGTTGATAAAGACGGAGATGAACCATCAAGTAAGACAATTTATTGATTACTTTTTGAAAAAAATATTAAAAATAATTGTTTTAATTAGGAAAAAAACGCGCTTCTGGATCACCAACAAACGAACAATTATTAGCAAAAGGCGATTATGGGAAATGCGAAACGTGTGGAATTGTAGATTTAAAAGTGAAATTTAAGAAGAATAATCGTTTTTGTTCTGTATCATGCGCTAAAGGGTAAATAATGAAAATCCCATAAAAATTCAATGAAAAATAATTTTATTCTTTTAAGTAGGGTTAAAAATAAAAAAGAAGGTAAAAAAGGTAAATGGAAAGATGAATCAATGGATGTTGATGGTGAATCAGGAGCATCAGGAGCTGAAAGCAGTTTAAGTCCGAATGATGCAGCTTCAACAGAAGCTGAAGATAATACACCCAAAATTGATCCAATGAAATGGACTGTACGTTTAATTCTTTAATTCTAAAATGTTACGAAAATAAAATGATTTTTTTTTAGGTTCAAGAAGTATCTGATTTTATTAGCAACCTCCCAGGTTGTTCTGATTATGCTGAAGATTTTATAAATCACGAAATAGACGGACAAGCTTTGATGCTTTTGAAAGAGGATCATCTAATGAACGCAATGGCGATGAAACTAGGGCCTGCGCTTAAAATAGTAGCGAAAATCGATGATATGAGGGTGGATAAGGAACCACCAAAACAGTAAGAATTTGAAATTTAAGTTAAATTATAAAAAATAAGACTAAGAAAATGTTTGTATAAAGAGTATATAAAAAAGAATTTTATATTATAAGACTGTTTTTTTAGTTTCGTATGCTTTACGCTGATCTTTAGTTTTAATTACGAAAAAATTTATAAATAGATAAAAAAATTGTTGAGCAAACAACGTTATTTTATGTACATATTGTACATATTAAAAGAAAGGGTAGGAGTGTAAATAGAATTTAAAAAAAATCAGATTAATTTTTAATAAATTGACTTGGAGTATGTTTACATGTTTTAAAAAAATTATAATAATATAAAATTTCGCGCGTATTTCTTTTGGAGTGTTCAGTTTGTTTCGTTACGCTGATTGTGCAATTTATTTTCTTAAATTATTTTCACACATATCTCATATTTGTTATTAAAAAAATTCTCTTTTGTAAAATACTACTGCCATATAAAACGATAATAAAAATTTGTAATTTTTTATAATTAATTTATTGTTTTCATTTAATACCTTCTTTTAGGCTTCTATATACTGGGAATTTCATATAACTTTTTGTTTCAGGTAAATAGCTTTTTCCTAGGCAGATAGTATCTGCCTATAGCAAATAGTTTTATTCCATTTATTTCAGTCTAAATTCTACTTTTCTAGGCAAATAGCATATGGCTAAAATATTTTCAGGCAAATAGCTCTTTAAACCAACCCAACCCCAGGAATGTCTTATTTTTTTAAGAGAGGCCTGCACTTTACTGTCATTGTTTTCTGGGCAAGGGATGTCAAAATGCCAGTGCCAGCCTACGAAATAACAGTGCAGTACAAAAAGGTGTACTTGTTTCAAAAATAAGATGATTGATAACTTGATTGTCAAAACAAGTAAATTATTGAATTTTGTATTTAAGTCTTCAAGAAATAAATCGTTTGATACGCAAATAATTTGACTCGTTTGACACTTATTAGTGACTTTAAGAACAGTAGGCTGATAACGATAGGAACTACTTTATTTTATTGTGAACAGGTACCTACTCTATATTGCATTGTTGTATCGAAAAAATGGTATTTGCCTAAAACAAGCTTAGACAGATACTATTTGTCTTGTCCAATAGTATTTGCCTAGACATTTAATGATAAAACTGTAATGAACTACTGTTTGCCTAGGCAGGCAGTATCTGACTAGGAAAAAGCTATCTACCTGAAATAACCATTTGGATGCGACATATGCACTTGCACTGTCCCACATAAAATAACGCTGAATAATTACTAAAACAAGAATTAACTGTAGCATTAGAACTAACACTAACCTTTTTTGGAAAAAAATGCCCTCAAAAACTTTTATATCAAAAAATGAGAAAACCACTCCTGATTTTAAGGTACCTAAACGCCTTACTCTTTTGTTTGTTCAAATGTTTCGGAAATTTTATCGCCAAACCATTCAAGGCATATTATACCAAAAGACTTAACTTTACCACAAATTACAACATTGCTGATTGTATAGAAAATTCACATTGAATGGTTTCTGGAGGACAATCTGGCCAAATGTTGTGCAATCTGAGAATTTGCAGAATTTCATCCAGGCTACCAGTAACTTTAGGGCGGTCGTTACCGGAAGATGATTCAACTGTCAGATATTGAAGAGCTACCTTGAGTCACAATCATGAATGCAGTGACAGTTATGAAAATAACGAAAACATTTTTCCAACTATGTTACTTTTCAAAACAGTTAAAAATGTTTAGAAATGGGAGAGACACAAATATGTTGATAGAAAAGGATCCTATAACACAACAAAGATGAAAGGCTCAACGTGAGATCCGTAATGCCTTAGCACCATACAAACTTTTGCAACAGAGACTCTAAAATGATTATCTTAGAAATAAATCTAAACTTCAAATCAGTTCCAAATTTATGAATTCTCTATATTTTCAGACAATGCAGCTGAGAACTAAATATAACAGCTTATTTTTATAACTAAATACTAAAATAGTGTATACATCATTAATAAAATATACATATAATAATATATTTAGAATAAATATATCTTAAAACTCAACATCTTATTCCTTGGAACCCAACCCTTTCAAAATGACCAGCAAATAGCAATCGTCTTAGGGAAGGTTATGGCGCGAATTGCTTCGCTTTGGACAATCCGAGATTCGTTACAAAGGTTAGAATTACTTGGGAATACATTTAAATTGTTCCTAACATTCATATTTTCTATGTGAACCTAAGAATTTTAAGAATATTAATAATTACAAATAATACAATGTTTTTAAGAAAATTTTGATGCATTATTCAACAACAAAACACTTTTTTAAAATAATTAATATAATTTTTTAGGTTCAAATAGAAAACAACCTCACTATTTATAGCTGCAAAAAATTTCAAGAATATTGGTCGAGTAGTTTTTGAGATATCATGTCTAAGACTTAATTATTTATAGAGTGTAATAGTAGTTGCCTACCCATGCGTGACGTCACAAACGGGCCATCAAGCTATGCACTCATTCCCAAGATGTAGCAGTCGTCTTATATTCTATAAAAATTGCCTTTTAATATAATTTATATAATTTTTTAGGTTCACATAGAAAACAACCTCACTATTTATATTTGTAACAAATTTTAGGAATATTGGTCGAGTAGTTTTTGAGATATCATGTCCAAGACTTGCTAATTTATAGAGTGTAATAGTAGTTGCCTACCAATATGTGACGTCACAAACGGGCCATCGACCTATACACCTATTCCCAGGATGTAGTAATCGTCTTAGATTCTATCGCTCTTGGATTAGACTACAAAACATTAAAAATGGAGACTTAAATTTATATTAACATTTTAATGTTAAACTTAGGTTTCTGATACAATGTTTAAAATAAAATATAACGTTGAAATTTTATTTATTCCTTTATTAATAATTCAATCGCGATAATTGCTATCAATTGTATGTATATAAAATCCAGAAGATTACTCTTTTTTGTTTGTCTAAATTCATTTGTCTTGCAGATAATAAAATTTGTTTGACCACATTGAAATAACTTTATTATATTCATACGGAATGAATGACAAAGAAAAAAGGAAAACAATATAATACACAATTCACACCATATTTTCTAAAGATTATCCTCTATTAAATCAATTTGAACAAAAAAATCATAATTCAGAACGAAAAAAATTAATTTTTAAATTAATCAATATCTTTGTTTTTTTTTGTTAACTAAGTCCATATTATCTTTTTTATTTCTATTTGTGTCAATTTCATTCAGATTTGTCACTAGAATCATGCCTCTTCATGGACTTAAGCGCTTTTTCGCGCAACTTTTTTTCATCCTCATTAAGTATCTCGGGATCGCTATTATCCGAGTCGTCACTTTCAACTTTCTTCTTCTTATGCTTCTTGTGTTTCTTCGAATGCTTTTTCTTTTTCTTATGCTTCTTATCTTTCTTCCTCTTTTTCGAATCGATTTCATTATCGCTTTCGCTTTCAGTCTTTGCTTTCGACTTCTTTCTTTTCTTTTTTCTCGCCGTATCATCGTCCGAATCGGAACTAGTCTCTTTTTTATGTTTCTTTTTATCTTTATCGCGCTTTTCAATTTTCTCAACTTCCGAATCACTAGACGTGTCTCGATGTTTTTTCGATTTTTTCGGTTCATCACTATCACTCGAATTTTCAACTCGGCGGGATTTTTTAGTTTTTTCTTCTTCAGTACTTGAAGATCTTTGTTTACGTTTATACTTTTTATCGGTTCCCGAATCGGAACTTGCGTGACGTTTCTTTCTTGGTTTTTCTTCACTACTATCGCGTTTAGATCGTTTCGATTCTTTTTTATCATCCTTTTTCTTTGAATATTCCCGATCACTATCACTTGAACTCGGCGAACGTTTTCTCGGACGTTTCTTTGTCCGTAATTTTTTTCTCGAATCTTTACTTTTTACTTCTTCTTCACTTTCCGAACTTGATGAATTTGTTTCTGATTCACTTTTCGGTCTTTTTTTGCTCACTTTAACTTCTTTTTCTTTATTAATATCTTTTTTTATTTTTTTAACATCCTCTTTATTACCTTCTTTTTTATTTGGCGGGAATTCGTTTGCCTTTATGAACGGTGATGGTGTTCTTGATAAACTCCTTGAATACCTGGGAGGTGCATGAGGTGGAATTTGATGCATCTTAGGGCTGCTACTTCTCGATTTCGATTTTTTCTTATCCTTTTTCGATTCATTTACATGATCCGACTTCCGTTTATTAGTTTCAACTTCAACGCGAGCTGTATTTCTATCGGTTTTAGTTCTATCAACTTTTCTTTGTTCTATCTCTTCATTTTTCCTAGTTTCAGGAACCTTCCTTGATGGTGGGGCTGGTTCAATTATAGGCTCTTTCTTCTCTTCCTTTCGTGGTGGAACTCGTTCTTCACGAGATTGTTCTGGTTTTGGTGGATCGCGACGTTCACTTTGTTGCCTTCGTGGACTTATACTCGGTTTTCTTGGTCTTGAGCGTCCTCTTGGTGGTGGAGATCGTTTTCTTGCGCTGCCTCGACTGTCTCTTGGTGATCGTCTTCTTGACCTTGAACGTTTATCTCGGCTTCTTGATCTTCTTCTATCTCTGGACGGTGGTCTTCTATAAGTTTGACGATTATCTCTTGATCTTGAACGGCGAAGACTAAACAAACAAATTTGATTTTCAGAAAAATTAAATATTTGAATGGGTTGGAATCAAAATGATAGTTTTAATGTAATGTTCAAGTAATCATATTATCACAGAGACTAGTTTTAATGCAAAACTGTTAAAACAAGTTAAATATAATAAATGGGGTAGAACTCAATCATGTTGTTCTCCAATTATTTCAAGAAATCTTGAGAGATTGATGTTAAACCAAGACAGGTAACATTTGAAAAGTCGAAATGATACATTTTCAGAACCAAGTCATCAGCAACCAAAACATAGACAACAAAGGCTGGAGACCAAGCCATGTGACTGAATTTAGGTAGTAGTGTTTCTTGGACAGCCTCAGCCATTTTTGTGCGCTTAGTCCAGTTATATCGACATTGCGAACGTTCCTGATAATAAAAAGAATTTGAACGATTCCCAAAAATCTACGCTAACACCAACATGTTCCTAAAACAATTCGTTCTAGTGCCATTTGCACAGACATAGCTTCTCCACCTTACAACTCTCGTTATCCCCTCCTATCCCCATCTTTAAACTCAAAAATGGGCTCCTCATTTGCAATCCTCATTTTTCATTTTGAAAAATAATGAAAATTTATTAAATTTACTCACTCTCATGATTGGATATGCGAAACACCACATTTTTTGACATATTTTGGTGTTGCTATTGGGGGTACGGGAAGATAGGAGTCGGAGCTTCAAGCCCAAATCGAACACGACACCAATCGCTCGGAGCGGCACATAGAAGCTCCGAACGCTAAATCGAAAATATGTATAATGTAATTAATTATGATTAATTAATTAATTAAATGATCAATTCAAATTAAGATTTTAAGCGGATGTTAATTAATTATTTTAATGTTAATAAAATTTTTGTTTTAATTAAATTTGTTGTTACCGGTCTCGACTTCTTCTTCTGCTAACGCTTCTTCGTCTTCTACTTGGACTTCTTCTGCTTCGACTGCGACGTCCTCTTCTTCTGCTCAAGCTCCTTCTGCGGCTGTAGCTTCTCCTTCGCCTTGAAGGGCTGTAGCGGCCTCTTGAGGGGCTTCTGCGAGATCTTGAGGGGCTGCGACGTCGGCGACTCGGGCTTCTTTTTGAACGAGACACACTCCTCCTAAAATACGTTGAAACGTGCTGTTATCATAAAAAAATTAATATAAAAAACAATTAATTTCTTTAAAAAGAAATGTCTAAAAAGTTAAATAAAAAATGTTCTTAACCCTTTTTCTTCCGTAATTTACCCACTCTAAAGAAACGAATAAATCAAATTTGCTTTTTACCTTCGAGATAAACTTCTTTTACGACTATTACTCCTCCTTTTTGAAAGACTTCGTCTCCTCCTCGAGCTATCCCGCCGATCCCGACTTTTTCTGGCATCCCGTTTCGGACTTTTTGAGGGTGATCGTTTCCCGCGTCGTTTGTCCACTTCGGCTTCGCTGTCGGAACTTTCTTTGTTCGTCCGGTAGTGGCGCTTCTTCTGAACGCTGTCTTCTTTCTTGTGAATTTCGAAATTCGCCTTCGATCCCGAGCTGGAACGAGAACGCCGCTGTTTTTCGGCTGCGCCTCCTCCGACCCCTTTGGACACCGACCGCGACTTCCGCTCTTTAGACGCCGACTTCCTCGAGTTGCTTGAAGATCTAGATCCTCTTGATCTCGACCTCGACTTGCTGAGTGAACCGCTCTTGCTCCTCGAACGGGATCTCGACTTCGAATGGGATGCTGATTTCGATTTTAAGGTGTCGTTTCCGGCCATTGACATCAGCTTCGCTTGAAGTTTCGATACTTGTTGAGGGGGATCCCTAATTAAAATAGATACGTAATGTTTCAATAAAAATTATGTTTAAATATCTTACTTGTGAGTGATTGCATTTCTTTTATGTGGTCCATCGCGTTCTTTGTCGCTATTTTCGCCGTTTCGATCCCGTTTTTCACTTGGACTAACGTTCCCGTTGTCCTTGTTATTGTAGTCGTTCAATTTGGAGACGGATCGGCTTCGCGAACGTTTGTCTTTGCGTTCTTTCGATCGATCGCTATCCCTGGACGTTTTATTTTCTGGAGACTTCCTCCGTTGTCTAGATCTGGACCTCGAACGGCGAGATCTTGATCTTGAACGACGCGAACGGGATCGTTCACGTTCTCGGTATTTTTTGTCCTTTTCTGGTTTTGCTTTTTCTTTTTCACGTTCTTTAGAAGATTCTTCTAATTCTTGCTATATGGGCGGAAATTTAAAGAACATTTAGGATTAATTAACAATTTTGGAATTGTTTTTAAACCAGTAACAATTGTGAACAAGAATTAAATATAACTGGTGTGAAGTTAGGCATTAGATTTAAAAATTTAAAATCTTTAAGGTTCATTACTACCAAATCAATTCTATCAATTAATTAAAGTATCTATAAGATACAGTTTAACTTATCTAACCCACCTCTTCATATATAATAGATAGATATGGATAGACATTTAGGGTTGCGTCTCTTTATCCAGAGATACTCAAGGTAATGATAGAAGAAGATGGCTATACCAACCAAATCATATTCAACGTAAATGAAACGGGTGTATTCTGGAAAAAATGCCTAAAAGAACATTTATAGCGCGTGAAGAGAAAACTTTTCCAGGTTTTAAAATCGCCAAAGATCAATTGACAGTGATGGTTGGCGCGAAATCAGCTGGGGACTATAAACTAAAACCTCTTTTAGCTTATTTATCACTCACCAAATCCACGAGCTTTAAAAAATAAATCTAAAACTTTTGGGGTTGCCCGTGATTTGGAAGTGGAATGCTAAAGCTTCTCTTTTTGCAGACTGGTTTGGTCATCACTTTATACCTGAAGTCGAACGTTATTGCCAATTAAAAGAAATCCCATTTAAAGTGATGTTAATAATCGAGTCATCCTCCTGTAACTCTAATTAATTTCGACCCACGTGTGAAAGTTGTATTTTTGTCACCAAATACAACTGCTTGCTTCAACTAATGGACCAGGGATTAAGGCCCACTTTTACCACCTCCTGATAAATTTATCCGATAGATAAATCCAGTTCTTAGGTCCATTACTACCATCTTTTAGTTAAATTTATCTTATAGATAAACCCATCTACTAGCCAATCAGAGCGCGTAAAATAGCCGTAACCGTGGTAATAATCCCTTAGATAGCTTAACCAGAGGATGGTAGTAACGAGCCTTAGCCAATGAGAGCGCTTAAAACCGCCGTAACCATGGCAACTATCCTCTAGATAGTTTATCAGGAGGATGGCAAAAGTGGGCCTAAAACATTTAACTACATGAAGCTATGAGACAAAACAATGAGCTCTCAGTTAAAGACTTTTGAAAGCTTCTATGATGACGTTCAAAAACTGCTAGCTTTAGACAATCAGGAGCTGACAATTGATAAGCTTGTAGAAATGCGTGAGCAAGAAGAAGAACAGAAGATCAAAAGACGGTTGCAAACTTGATAGAAGGCCTCAGTTCAATTGAAAAAAGAATTACAAATTTTAGAAAAACTGACACCAACAAGATGTGTATTACTACTACAAAACGGGGAATAAAAAAATTATTAATGTGCTACGAGATTTTGCGTAAGAAAAAAAAATTCATCTCGTCACACGTCATTAATAGATTTTTTGAAGCCTTTTACGTCAAAATAACTTCCGTTTACTTTTTTGCAATATGTACATAATAAAATACTTTGTTGTAAATATTATCTAACAGTTTATTAAGCATTTTTCTTCTAAATTATTGTTTTATTTAGTCTCTGGTCCTAATTGAACATAACTTGTATGTATTTATATGCAAAATTGGACCCTGACTTACGCGAATTCGACTTACATAGTTATTGCTCAGTCCCACCTATAGCGACCTACAAGATCTATTGTAACTCTAGCCCTTCAAAAGTTTAGGGCAAATGTAGGTCCTTAATGAACCTTAGTATTGCTCCCAGGTCTTGTTCCTTTATGTTGGTAGGTGTCAAAAGAGCTTTACCGAAAATTTGGTATCTTATGGCCCCTCTTGCTGTAACCTGAAACCCACCATAGAGTAACATCATTGCCTCTGGCGAGTTCTGAGGTTGCTGGTACTGAATTGCCTTCAAGGAGGCCCAACTGTCTGTGAAAATGTTTATGGATGCACCTTTCTGTGCCTTTTGTAGGTTCAAAGCAGTGCAGACGTTTATAGCAAGAACTTCTGCTTGAAAAATGGTTATGTCCGACCTATGGAACAATTTAATGTGGCTATTTGGTGCACTGATGCCCATGCCTACTCTGGATTTAACTATCTTTGAAGCAATGGTGTACCAGGCTAGGGGTCCTCTCATTACTGTACTCATAATCTATATCTAAACATTACCAAAATTAGCATGATAAAGTGCTACATTGAAAACAAAATACTTTATCTCCAAAATTCATATTATTATATGTTGCCCTATATCTCTTAGATTTAACCTAATTCACTTATTATAGTTAATGATAATATAAATGCAATAATAACTATGGCTAACTTCACACCACTAAAACATACTCTTTTCTTGGTAATTTCTTCTTTACGAAGTTCAAGGAGACAATCAGGTATTCCTGTTGGATTTTCTTGTGCTGAAATGAGTAAAGCCCAAAGTTCAGCCATAAATTCTCTGGCATTTTTGCCATGAAGAAAGCCTGTTAGATTAATTTGAATCTTTTTGGGGTCAGGATACTGTAAAGAAAGAAAATTAATAAATAAAAATGATTTTGTTGTAGAAAACAAGGTTTAATAGTTTACCTTCTCATCAAGTTGATTATAAACAAAATCAACAACAACATCATCATCAATCTTTAAAATTTCTGTAATCTTCTCTTGAATCCATGGTTTTATTACATCCAGTTTAATTTTGGACATATCAACCTAATTAATATTAAAAAAAAACAATAAATTAATAATTTGCGCATGAGTTTATTTATTAATAGTTTTGAATAAAATATTCAAAGCTAAAGATCTTATTGGACATGGTATATTGCCAAAAGTACCACAATATAAAAATATTCGGAGCTATAAGTAGCTTCAAAAGTAATATAAAAAATATGTAAGATAAGAAAAATTTTTACCCTCTGACTAAGACAATCACTAAACTTCATTTGCTTAAGTAATTTCTTCTCTTTATCGCTAAAGCGATTATCTTGCTCTGTAGTAGTTCCCTAAAAAAGTAATAGTAATCATTAAAGTGCATTAATAATGTAATAAATAATTAATTTAAAAGCTTTTTTTTAATCTTTCGTTCTGACAGATCATCGAGCGCGAAGAAACCACATTTCTATTTTTAAAACGTAACCTAACACCCGTAACTCGACTTACCGTGTACATCATCTTGGGGAGCGGTTTCTGTTCAACGTTTTAAATCGAAATGGGGCTCCAGGGCCCCGGTTGTAGGATTTTTATTGAACGAAACGAACAGCTAAAGAAATGCCGGCACCGCAGCAAACAATTCACGCACAAAACACCATCGCGTCCGGTGGGTGTCGCGAGCATATTAGGACTTTCGCATAGTTTTAAATAGATTTTAGCCGAACACCGTTAATTGAAAAAACGCATGAAGGGCATCGTTTTTATCCCTTTTTCTACACCTGGTTGAACACGCGCACTTAATGTCTAGTTAAAAATCCATGTTGGGTTTCTAACAAAATGGCGTGGCGTCTGCACTATCGATAATAAGGTAACCTGCTTTACCATCTTATTTTTTAAAAAAGCTTTGTTGGTTTTATATACAGAGTGAGTCAAATCTTTTGTCAAAAAATTATAACACGTTATTTAAAAAGAAAATTAGTTTCACAATAAATAAATAAATTTCTTATTGTATATAACTCGTTTTTTTTATTTTAGATAAGTAACTTAATTATAAAATAATTGTTTATTTAAAAAATGTTTTGATTAAAAATATACAGAATGTTCAATAAAAAAAGGAATTTATAAGAAAAATTAATTTATCTGATGTTAAAAATATCTTAATAGAATAAATATAATAAAAAGAAATTTTTTTGATATATTTTTTATTATTTTCAACAAAATACAGCAGTTATACCATGGATATGCAACAATAAAAAGCACCTGTGTTGTTTTTTTATATGAAATTGATTCAATATCATTTTGTTTATAATAACGAACGCGTACAGAAGAAAAAGCATTTTTTATTTAGGAAAATAGAGTTGTAAAAAAATCACAATCGTTTTCTATCTTAAGGTTAGCACAAAAATAAAGCTTGAACAGATTATTCTAACTTAACTAATTAGCTTTGATAAGTTATATTTTTTTTTCTACGTCTTATATCGAAAGCGTCGCTTTTCTTAAATAAGATATTGCTAAAAATGCATCTCCTGCAACTCTTGGATGCGCTTCATCATCCAGATAACTTTTGTGCAAACATTGTAACACTTCATTAAACATGATAAACCCACAGTTGAGTCGCCAATTTTATTGATCATGGACAACGATGAATCCCACATTCTCTTGAATGTTATAACGTTGGCTTTATCATCTTACACCAGCCATACAACTGCTGTTGGATAAGATTATGCCTTAAAAAATTGAGAATTAATAATGGAAAGCATGGCTGTTAAGTACTTAAGGCTGTTAAATATTGATAAGTGTATTTGAAAACTTTTTTGATTACAGCTCAAGTATTGTTTGATCTTTATAAACATAAAATTATAGTTTTAATGCCAACATTAATACGTTTCCTTCCAAATAAACAGCTTTCGATTAAAAACGTAGAAAAATTGCTATGTTATAAACTTTTATTCCAAATTATTTAATATTAATTGTTGTTATAACATCCAGGATTTAAAAACGAATTTAAAAATACGTATTAAATTTAATTTAATACTTATTGATGAATCAAGGCGGTTAAGCCATGCACTTTGTAATGCCTGAGTTCCATATTATAGCCGTGGCCTAAAATGGAACATAAGAATTTTACTATTAGAGCTCCTTTAGAATCACTTTTATCATCTCCTGATATTAAGGGATTGTTGCTATTGATACAGTTGTTATAAGCGTTTTCCCTGACCAACAGCTGGATTTACAGCTGGCCCTTAGGTATTTTAGTGCCATCTTGTGTTTAAGGTAATCAAGACACTATCAAGAATACAACTGTTGGTATTAAATTAAACTAATTTTGTCCATTCTGCAGAACCACTTAACTGTCAAAGTATTAGTCTACAATGCCCTCAATGCTTTAGATCTGTGTTAAATCTTTTGGCTGTATGGATTAATGTAAATTAGTTATGATGTTTTCTATTTGTATTTATTCTTTCATCTTCAATCCCCTGCTTGCAAAATTTCCTCAAGTTAGTGTCTTGAACCCATCCATTGGCATGATATTGTATCTTGTTACAAGAATTTTATTGTTGTAATCTTGAAAGTTTCACTCAGTAATTTATAATCTTATTTGTTTCACTAATATCAAATTTAGCTATGTTGTTAAATTATTTGGAAGTTCTAACTAATAATGAACTAACTTGGTTATGAAATCAGTATTAGACAATTACAAATATTGTTATTACCTTTCAATAATTAATCCTGGATTTTCTTTCAAGTGAATACTCAATACTGAATTACTTATATCTCTCAATACAATCATCAACATGAGAAAAATGATAATATATGAATAAAAGAGATTAATAAATTAATAATTTAGAGACAGACAAAAAAATTATTGAGATCTAAATAAAAATATCCTCAAAATCCCTTTCTATTTAATTAATTGATTAATTGCGTTAAATTAATTAATCATTGATTCAAAATATCACAAATATGTATTGATATTGTGCTTAAACAAATTAAATTGCACAATAAACGGGATAAAATTGCTTTAAAATTCGGTACGTATCATAATTAATAAATAAATTAAACGGTAAACACACCAAAAAATTAGCTAACACGCGAAAATTAAAATTAATTTAGCTACAATTCCTTTAAAATTGGACTACATCTTATAAATACATTCCCCTTCATTTTAATCGTTAATGTTTAAGTTTATAATCGTTATATCATTACATTTTTTTAACTTTTAGTTAGATTAAATAAATACACATGCTTCTTATTAATTAATTACTACCGGTATTCAAGTTAAATTTTTGTCATGATCATTATTATAGTTATTAAATATCATTAGTTATTGTTAAATGGTAACATACTAATTTTACAGTTATTGTTTGTTTCATCTAAAGTTAATGCAGGAATTTCTATCTGGTACATTTAAACAAAATAATTTACAATAACAAATTTGAGCTTTAAAATTAATTAAAATTAATCACTTCAAAATAATCATAAAAACCCGATTAAAAAAAGCGTATTTCATCATTAAATCATATTTTTCTTTAAATTTTACACAACATATGGAAATCTAAATAGTTTATATCCTCTATCACAATGGTTTTTGAGTTATCTCTGTCACTCTCATAAATACAGTTAAATATGTATACAAATACGTTTAGAAATATGTTTACAAATACATAATAATTATATAAATACTTGGACTAGACTTCTTTTCAAATATGTACCATCATTATATCTCAAATAAATCTCATAAAAAAGATCTTAAATAATTAATTAAAAAGAAAAATTAAGATAAAAAAAAAGCTTTGCGTTTAAAACACTTGGAGATAAGCTACTTTTATAGCATTATATGTATCCACACACCTTCTACTTATCGAATCTGTTTCGGGAATCGTACTTAATGGAAAACTATCCCCAGATTCATTATGATACGCCCACAACATTTCTAGCGTTGAAATAAAATTTTCCAACTCAGAATTACTAGAAAAATATAATATCCAATCCCCACCACATTCATGTACTTCTCTACATGAAAATTCCTATAAAAATTAAATAAATTAATAAAAAAGGTAATTAAATACATCGCAAAAAAATACTTACTAGAATGCACCAACTCTGTTCAGCCGAAGGCAATCTAAATGCTGTTATATCAGAAATAGCCGCACAAGAAAGCGCTTGAGCACCTTTAATCGGTTCGTGCATTCCTTTTGAAATTGCCGAACTTATGTTACATGGAAATGCTTCTCTTACTGCCAAAATATGTTCGCTGGTGAGTAATAAGGAACATGATTGGGCTAAATGACGTTCTTTTGCAGTATAAGTCTGTAAAAAAATAATAAGTAATAAAAAAATTAATTAATAATTATAATTTAATTCTTTTTTGTTTTACCCCGCTTGCAGCATGTACTAAAGCTTGTAACCAATCACTTGCAACATATTCGTCTGGTGCGGCTAAATGTAAAGTAGTCCCCCCGATATTTAATTGGAAAGTATGTGGTCTGGGATAATTATGAATCCTTCTAGCACCTTGACAAGCACCGTTAATTAATGGTAACACCCTCATTGGAACTCTATGCGAAGGAGATGATAACATATACAGAACACCCGCTCTTAAAATTAATAAAACTTAATAACACCATAATATATTTTTATCAAATTAATACTTTAAAATAAAATACGCTGTTTCCCACCGAGATTCATTCTCCGAAATCTTAAACATTAACGGTCCCTCTTTATTCGGCCCCATTGGTGTATCATTCGTTTCCATATTATATTCTTGTAATTTTATGATACTATAATAAAAATATTCTTCATCCTTATCAACCGAAGTTTGCTTACAAATCGACTGGCGTAAATTAACCATATCCCGCATGGTTAATTGTTTAACAGCAGCCAGATTCGGTTTATTTTTATCACGACGCATCGCCATTTCCATTTGCCCGATAATTTCACCAGTCAAATTCCCACATCCAGTCGTTATAATACATTGCATATCATTATCGTAATTTGAAAGATGAATTGTTTGCGCGTTAGGACCAATTAAAATCGTATTTAATTCAGTGTATGGTAGAACAAAGTGATTGCAAAGTAAGGAATTTGTGGGTTTTGAGCTGCTTATGTAAAGTGTGGTGTTTGTAAGAATTAAAAGAACCGGTTTTGATTCTCCAAATGTTGTATATGCACTTGCAACAGGAAAAACCTTAAAAAAAAGTTTGTTAATTAAAATTTGTTTAAAATTTCACTACATATTTATGTATATATTTATTAATAATAAATTTATGGATTTAAGAGTGGCTGAATCCCGATTCTAGCTGGACAAAATTATTTTATGGGGTTCACAATGGCTAGAATATCTTTAAAAAAATATATGAAAGAAAAAGTAAGCGTTTTAGTTCTCAGAACAGAACTTTGACTGGATTTTGAGGTTTTCACATATTTTTTAGGGAAAAATTAGTATAAAATAAAATGGAAAGATAAAATAAATGCCAATTTAGTTTCTAGTAAAAGGAAGAACTATTTTTTTTTAAATTCATAATCCGAATCATCTTCCGCTTCGCTATGCTGCTCATCAACTATATCCTCTTCCATTGAATCCGTGATCAGCTCCCTTGCCTCAGGACTAAGCTCCTTCAATGGGACACTCTGTAACGTTCTAAGGCCTGTAACAACAGGATCTGATGATATTAAAATCATGTGAACTAAGTCTTCTAAGTCTATGTAAGGACTTTCTAGTGTGGTCGCCTCATGTCTTTATTCTTTGCCTCCTGCCTCCTGTCTTTTAAAAGCTGCCTTTAGGAACAAGGGCACGTTTGATGGCTAAAGAGCCATGTAAAAGGACTTTATGTTGGCTGGGGGCCATCCTGTATCAGCCATATAGCTCCACAAACAGTTTGGCACTATCATAGGTAAATGTGTTCTTTTTTCTTGTCATTGTCATAGTGAATAATTTGAGGAAGTTGTTTTATAAATACCTGAAGAATAGTTTCAAATCTAGATATTAATCGCTTATCAACTCCTGTAGCTGCAGCAGCTTCATCTGCATGCTTAAAAAATCGACGGAGCACGTTCTCGCTTCCTTGACTAATTCTGATCCCAGATTTGTAATCAGCACCCCAAAAGATCCCACCAATACCAAGTTTTATAAAAAAATCAAGAGAAAATGAAAAACTGTTATCAGTTTTAATTGAGGAGTTTTTGTTATATCTTAATTTATGGTTCATTATGGCCCTCCTACTTTGAATATATTATTAATTACATCATAATACAGAAATTCTCAAAATTTGAAGTCAATATCGTCTAATGAAAAAAAGTTGCGCGTTAAAATATAAAGAATTTTTCAATTTCCACGAAGCAAAATCACACTCTCCTATATTTGAGTAGTATGATCTTACCTTAATCGTAGCACGGGAGACGCGATTAAGGATTTTGTACAACAGGCAATAGACTGTTATGAGACTACGTTCGTTCTACGACCTCAGCAAGGCCTTTGATTGTGTGAACCATAATTTATTAATAAAGAAGCTGTGTAGATATAACTTTGGTGACAGTAGTATTACAGAATAACCAGAAATGACACTGACATCGATTCGTTTAATGTTGGCAGCAACTCGTTTTAAAATCCGCCATCTTATCGCGAGTTACCAAAGGCACAGAATACACCGGCAGTATCCCGCCAAATCTTTACCACCAGTAGCAGCACATCTTGGCAACTCGCTATAATATGGCGCCAGATTCAGCCAATGTCACTTATGGTTATTATATGGTAGTATAAAGATGATTCAATCGTACCTTGGTGGCAGAAGACAAATAGTCTGTTGTAATGATAGCTATTCTACATCAGAGTGCATTTCTATTGGACTTCCACAAGCATTAGTGTTGGGGCCTCTGCTTTTCCTCATTTACATAAACGACTTGTCTGCTTCAATATCTAAGTCTTCAATCAAATTCTATGCTGACGACACTACTTTAATCAGCAGACATAAAATCCTCATTGATGCTGTTGCAGTAAATCGGGCGTCACGCTTTGAGGCTGAAAACATCTAAAGCTGTCTTTACACTGAGAGGCGTTCAGCCAAATCTGATGGGTGAGCAGCATGTAACTATACTTTGCAGCAACATTTTTGTGTTGCGCGTTTTGGGTGGCAATGTGTCGAGACCGGTGTTAAGAACTGCTTACTTTGCACTGTGTCAATCGCTATTATCATATTCTCTGTCCGCCTGGGGGAACTGCTCGGGTTGGTCTATGGTTTTTCGACTGCAGCGACGTGCCATTCGTGTCATATGTGGTCTGAAGTATCGAGACAAGTGCCGTGAATTCTTTATAGATCAGAAAATACTAACATTTCCCTCGCTATTTATATTAGAATGTCTGTTGTACTTGCACAACAATGTAGATAAATATACTACCCACAGAGATATACACAGCTACAGAACCCACAACAATCATAAGCTAAAACCTAAATTTTGCAGACTCTCTAAGTTTTTACTGGGCCAAAGTTTTACAATAAATTAGCTTTAACTTTGGATGCACAAATAAATATTGTTATTTTTTTTTTTTTACTTTTGCCCACCTAGAATCGAGATTCAGACCAGTGTGCGGTGTTTGACAGAGTAAATAGAGGGAAGTTATGTGAGGAGATGGGGAGAAGAAATAAATAAAAGGTTTTGGACAACAAAGGGATTAAAGCAGAAATGTCTGCAGACTCACAACTGTGTAATTGCGTGTACTAGAAGGTTAATAATAAATTTTTACCTTAAGTAACATTTCTGATTGATCCCTTAAAATTTCTCTCCCAACTTTTGAAAGAACCAAACCATCAGATAAATTACAATTATTTTTAATTCTTCCTTTAACAATTTCATCTTCAATTTCTTGATCAATACTTTCATTAACATCACTTGTAACGCGTACCCCTTTAATGTAAAGGGCCAAACAACGCCTGGACGATTTAATTTTATTCTGCACCTTCAAATCCATCATTTTCTTAATTGTCACGTTCCTTAAGAACCGATTAATAAGCGAACTTTTCGACGAAGACGGTCTTAAATTCGGCAAACTTTTACTTTGAAGATCATCGCCTCTCTCGTTACTTAAATCGAATTTAAAATTTTGTATCGCATAATGATTAGGTTTCGAAATTTTCCTTTTCGGCGAGTTTAAATGTTTCGTTGAATTTTCGGAAAAATCCGAAACGGTTTCGTTATCGGACCAATCAAGTTTTGTCGACGACGCGTATTTATTTGGGGTAATTTTGATTTTTTCTTTTTCAATTTCGTCGGTTGTTGTAATTTTTTCCGCGACGGGAGTTGGGGGATCAATATGTTCGAAATCTTCGATTAAATTTTCTTTGGCTTTGCGTTTAAATATGTTAAATTCTTTAAGAATCATTTGATAAATAGTGGACGATTTCGGTTTTTGTTGCTCGAAAGATTTTTGAAAGTTGTCGTATTCGTACGAATAACTGATCCCTTTGTGTTCATAAACGTTGCTATCGCAAAGAATTACGTTTGAGGGTAAACCCTCTTGTGGGTAATTTGGGTAAAAACCTTCACTTTTTGTTAATTTTAAGTTGGTTTTAGCTAATTCTAAGTTAAGGTTGCCGATTTTTTTGATTGGGGCTGGAGCTTCGGTGGTTTCGTAATTATTGCTGTTACGCCTACTTTTAATTGCTCCATTAACTGAAGAAGAATAAACAGTTACATCTTCTTGCCCTTCAGGGACACCACGCTCCGCTAAAGGAACTGATGATGAAAAATTTAAAATGTTTTTTAAGCTCCCAAATATGTTTCCATCCAATAAATTAGTTTCAGATTTTTTCTTTTTTAACCCATTGTTTTCCTCAACGATGTTCGTATCAATATATTTTTTATTCGTCTTTTTTAAACAACTCGCTTTTGGTAATTTATGAGATGGTTCTTTTTTAATAACATTTTGAGATTCACTCCCTGATGAATCTTCTTCATCGATCGAGCTTTCGTTCGAGCTTGAAGACGTCGAAGAAAACCGCGAAGTATGAGTATAAATGTCGGATTTAATTTCGCGATCATTTGTTGATTCGTAATAAGGGGCATCGCCTTCAGCAGCCCAACTATAACGACCTTTAACAACGTCTGGTTTTCGACGAAACCCTCTTTGAAAGAAATTCATTGAAATATCAGGTTCAATCGTTATAAAACCATGATTAATATGAATATCATCGATTTTCGTGCTGTTTAATATATCCTCGTGAAAGGAAACGCGTTTTTTTGGCGTATCCGATTTCAATTTCTTTTTGCGTTGGCGACGAAATACAATTTGTTCTTGTTCAGAATTAACGGTGATTTCTTGTAAAGGCGGTAAATCGGAAACGTCTGGTTTTATCTCATTGTTTGGATTATTATTTAAAGAAATTTTTAAATTTTCGTTTACTTCTTCTGATAAAGACACATGCATATCATCAACTTTATCAGGATCTGCTGCAATTTTATTTTGAATGGTGTAATCTAAGAGTTCATAACTGTTTAGGGAAATATTCATAAGATCCTCTGTTTTATCAGAAACGCCACGACACTTCACAACATCTTCCATTTGAAGCTCATCTTCCTCATTCTTTTTGCGATTCAGATAATATTCTTTGTAAGAATTACTACACATCTCATTTAACCATAATTTCTCATCTAACGCTATTGAGTTCCTTAATAAATGCCTATCAATCTCTTCAATCAAACTATTTGGTACAGAAGATGATAAATTACTATTACTTTTACTACTACTTTTATTAATATTCTGATTTACAACATCACTTTTCGTCATGGCAAAATAAGATTTTGTGTCCTCAATTTTATTACCTTCCTCCTTCTCTGGTTTACCTTTATCGGTTTTTTCTGAGTTATCATCACTATCGATAGATGGGGCACTGGCAGACATAACGGAAGTAAGTTCACTTTCGCTATCAAAAAGTTGTACCCCGGAATCCCCAGGCGATGTAATACTTGAATTTGCCGACATTGTACTTGATGTCATGAGATGGTCCTTTTTTAAATCTTCCACAAACGGTTTGCACCTTTTAAAATTAATTTCCATTACGCGTTCCAACGTTTCACTTTCCATTATTAGCTACAACAAAACCATTAAAGAAAAACGGAATTTATTGATTTGTTTTTGTCCTTAATGAAATTTTATGTGTATACGTCCCTTGTGAAACTATTTAATGAATCATTCTTTTTATCATTGATTTTCAAGGGTGCAAATTAAAAATTTCCTGTGTTATTATTAATATTGCGGTGACGAAAATGGTAATAAAGAAAAGGATTGACGTCGGTGTAGTTTGATGAGGTGGAAATTGTTGATTTTAACGAGTCAAGTACTTACTTATCAGGTGAATTTTTGTTGCCTTATATTAGAAAAACACTGATTACAGTTTGAAGCGGTTTAATGGTGCATTGCACTGGGGAATAGTAGGTTTTTATGCCAATTGAACACAACAAAAATTGCACATTTTGACAGATCGAACGCATGCGCAGTTAAGTTAGAAATTTTAGTATCGATTATTTAAAATTTTATAACTAAATTATATTCGACCGTTTAATATTACGTTTATATGATTATATTGTAAAGAAAGGATTAGATGGGAGTGAAAATTAAAAATAAATTTTAAATTTAAAAACATACTTTCAAATTATTTTTAACTTAAAGTGGCGACATCTTACGTTCTTACACATCATTTATTGACACAAATTCAAATTTATAAATATAATTTTATAAAAATAAACTATTAAAATGTATAGTATATTAATACTTATGAATTATTATAAAATTAAACTTTAAAATAGTAATAGGGTTTTACTGAATTCAATGAAAATTGTATTGTTGACAGTTCACGCGCATGCGTAATAAAGTTATATATTTTGTTATCGATTTTTAAGCTAATAAATTTATTATTTGCTGTTTATTAATTAATTATACTTTAAATTGTTGCTCTTCTTATTTCTTTCAAGTGGTTTGACTTGAATGATTTAAGTTTTTCAGACATATTTGAAAAAAGAAGTATAAAGATGTTCCTCTTGGGATAAGTCTCAGATTTTTGTAAGCTAGTACCTCACAGAGGGTCTGAAATAGGGGGACGGCCTAACCCCCTATTATAACACACTTACTCTCAACATATGCCTGGAAAATGTTACAAGAAATTTAACAATAGTCAACCTCAGAGAAACATTAATCAACAAATTATTCTGAGCTGGTCACTGAAGACAACCAAGAAAGTGTAGTGCCCTGTAATTTGTCTCTTTAATCATGTTTCATTTGATATTTCTGATACATCAAATCGTTAACACATTCTATTAATTAACCCATACTTTAATATTTTCAACCAATTCAAAAATACAGTCATTCTTATTATTAATAAATCTAACAAAACCATTTTGAATAAATAACTCAAAAATCTCCAAAATACATTTAAGATCAAAAATTGCATGATTTTCCCCTAATGAATAACAATCAAATAGAATTATTTCAACGTTATTTTTCAATAAATTAATCCTTTTACCAGCAATGTAACTCAACATTTCATAAAATCCCTGTAAATCAATACCAAACGATGCTTTTAACATTACTTGACAGTGATCCTCAAAGTTTTCCATTTCTTTACAATCCTCAATTTCTTTTCGAACGTTATTTAAGTTATCACATAAAGATTTCCACATCATTTTTATATTGCATCCATTTACCCAATTATGATTAATCGAAATGCTGTCTTTTAAATTCCAAACTTGATGATACCATCCTGATGGAATGAAAATCGCTTCTGATGATTCTTGAATTATTTCGTAATATTTGCAATTTTTTAAATCAACTTTTTCTAAATCATATGGTAAATTTCCTAGGTTATCTAAAAGTTTTAATTCTTCACCAGGTGGAAATAACAACCATTTCTTTTGACCGAATATATTGGTAGACCAGCTGTAAGATGAAAAGACATCTTGATGAAATGGTGTCCTTAAAATAATATAAACATAATCTTTATAATTATTTAATATGGATATTTTACCATGTATTTTTTGGTCCAATATAAACAAATCTATAATCATCTTTTAAACATTCGCAGAAATACTCATTTAACCAATCAGAAGCAAAATAAATAGGAACTCTATAAAAATTATCATCTGGTTTTTGATTTTTTAAATGCCAATCTTTTAAATACAATAAATCATCTTTTGCTTTTGCCCAGCTGTTTAAATAGTCTCGAAGGGTTGTGCACTCAGTTTTCTGACTATTATAATGAGGTATTTTGCAATTATATATCATAACTGGTGAATCTCCATATTTTTCCTCCAAATAAGAAAAATTTATACCATCCTCATTAATCCAATCTTTTATACAATCCCAATTTGAAATGTTCTTAATTACAACTGGATTATTATTTATTAAGTATCGATTAAAGAAATTGTTATACGAATAATCGTTATTAACAACATCAATCTTGATGTCTTCAGTAATATTTTCACTTCCTAAATTAATTTCAAGTTTGAATTTTCCCTCCATTTAAATTTCGGAGCTACCAACTTAAATCTTAGAACAATAAATTTCTCTAGACACAAAAAGTAAATTAAAGGTTACGTTCGTTCACATTCATTTTATTTACTTATCATACTTGTCCAGTTGCTTACAACATCGATACGCGGTTTGTGGTATTGAATATTTCCTGTTATCAATATCTTATAGTGATAATTTTAACGGCTCAACACTCCTACGCATATTCCACAAATAACACCCGGTTAAAGTGATTGGAAAACGTGTTTATTAAACCCGAGTTTGTTTACCTTGTACTTTTTTTTAGGCGCTGTGTATAATTTATTAATAGTTTCCAATTTAAAGTGTTCAGTTGGGTGTGTGCTGACTTTTTAAAGTTAAACGATGTGATTTGAAGTTTACTTGTCAAAAAAATAACCTCCAAAGTTGACAATTAAGAATATAACCTCAAAAATAAATTAAAAAAATGAAATTTTTAATAAATTTTTGCTTAGTATTAGTTTTAATTACTTGTAGTAGAGTTAATGGTGATGTATCGTCGATAATAATGAAACAACCTTCATGTATTGTTATCAAACAATTTTGTTCCACACAAAAAGCTAATGATTTTCAAATTATTGAATGCATACTTTCAGACCCAAGCAATGTTAATCGGCTGGATAGTGAATGCCAGCATGTTGTTTGGGAACAAATTAGTGAGATAATCAGCAATAAATATGTACGCGAATTTTTGTCACCATTATGTGAAAATGATCACTCTTTTCAATGCGAACATACCGACCCCAGTTCAGAAATATCTTACTTAAAATGCGCTATTAATGTTAAAAACGAAATCAGCGTTAAAGACTGTGTAAATACTATAACGCGATTCGAAAATATAGCGTTTGATGATTTAAAATGGATTTCAAATTTTCTTAAGCATTGTAACACAGCTGTTGAGAAGTTTAAGTGTGGTCGCTTAACTGGGGATAGTTCTTCTCAAGGTGAAACTTTGAGTTGTTTACAAAATTATTATAGAGAAATTGATTCTGAATGTCAGAGAGAAATTATGGAATTATCTGAAATACAATCAGATAACATTAAATTAGACCGACAACTTTATATGGCTTGTGCTACCGATCACATGCATTATTGTTCTCTGTATTCACCTGGTAGTGGAAAAGTATTTAAGTGTCTTATGCAACATTATAACGATCATTTAGACGAAAAATGTCGCAATCACTTATTAAAGCGACAAAAATTAATTATGGAAGATTATCGCCTTAGCAAAGGTTTGATGCGAACTTGTAAAGATGATATCAAAAAGTACCATTGTCGGAGGCAAACGTCTGAGGATAAAAGTATTCGATTAGCTCAAGTTTTGTTGTGTCTTGAAAATGTTATGAAGAATGGTACCAAGATTGATAACGATTGCGAAAACGAAATGAAGGATCACCGACGGATTTTAATGGAAGATTTTAGATTATCACCAGAGATTGTTGATGGTTGTTCTTTGGATATTAAAAAGTTTTGTAACAATTTGGAAGTTGGAGGGAAAACGTTACATTGTCTTATGGAACATGCTCGAGTGAAAAATACCAAAAAAATTAGGGATTCTTGTCAAAGAGCGGTAAATTTTATTTTAACCTCACTTTTTTAAATATACAGGGTGATTCACATAAGAACCGACACAAAGCACATGTAGAGAACAATAAATTAAGATGATTTAACACAACTTATCTCTATACTAAGTTATACCCCTGAGGAGTTACAGGCCTTCAAAGTTGGGTCTTAAATTTTTAATACATTAAGCTAGAAAAACCAAATTTGATATACGTTATAAGTGTACCAAGGGTATTAATTGGTAGCAAGTTGAGACCAATTAAGGTATTTCAAAGGATTGATTAAGGGTGATGGTCCCCTAAATTTTGACAGATTTTTTTAACCTTTTGGTGGATTTAATACATTATTACTTCATTTCATGTGGAATTTAATTCTAAAACTTTTTTTGCTCTAAAAAACATTGTCGTTTTCATAAAAAACTCAAATAACTAAAGACGCTTATTTCGTTAATGCTACTCAAAATCATCGAAAATTCAATAGTCGGCTGTGAAATTGTATGTCAAACTTGACAAATAGGTTATAAAACCTTGTCGTCAAATAGTTATTTAAGTTTTTTTATGAAAACGACAAAATTTTTTAGAAGAAAAGTTTTAGAATTAAATTCCACATGAAATTAAATAGTAATGTATTAAATTCGCCAAAAAGTTAAAAAAAATCTGTCAAAAGTTAGGGTACCACCACCCTTTGAAATGCTTCAATTAAGTTCAATTTGCTACCAATTAATACCCTTGGTACACTCATAACGAATACCAAATTTGGTTTTTCTAGTTTAATGTATTACGAAAATATTTATAAAACGTAAGAGCCAACTTTGAAGGCCTATAACTCTTCAGGTGTACAACTTAGTATAGAGGTAAGTTACGTTAAATCATTTTAATTTATTATCCTTTACATGTCCCTGCTCTGTGTCGGTGCTTATGTGAATCACCGTGTATATAATTTTTAATTTCTTCTTCCCAACTCTTTTTCTTATCCTTATTCTTTGCTTCAAATATCTTTTTTACTATTGTGTTATGTTCCATTCTAATTATGTGGGTGTACCAGTTTAGTTACTTTCTCTCTATTTTGCTGATTATCTCCTCTTGATCTACATTCCTTATCTTATCACACTTTGTCTTCCCCACTATTTTCCTTAAAAATGTCATTTCCTTTGCTGTGATCTTTCCTTCTTGTTTATCTTGGAGTGTCCATGATTCACTGGCATATGTTAATATTGGGACTGCCACTGAGTTGTAACTTTCAATTTTATCTTTTTATCTATCTCCTTCTTCCCAAAAATTGTTTGTTTTCGTTATTCTTGCATTTATGTCTAAATCTATCATTCCGTCTTATGATATTATACTGCCCATGTACTCATATGTACTTCTTCTATCTTTTGTTCCTTAATAAATATTTCTTTCAGGTTATATCTTATTTCCTTTTTATTTATTATTACGATTTTACATTTATTTACATTCAATTCTAGGCCCATCTTTTCAATTTCTTCTGTCCATATTTCAACCAACTTCCTTTCCTTTTTATGGTTCTCTGCTATCAGCACTACCTATGTCGTCAGCATATAGTAAATTATCTATTTTTACTGGTTCCAAACTTTTATAATCTATTACTGTTTGATATTTATGTGTTCTTGTATTTTTTTAACAATCTGTCCATTAATATTATAAATAACAAGGGGCTTAGGCTATCGCCTTGTTTTATTCCCTTGCTTATTTCAAAAGTTTGTGATGTTCCTTGACTTTCTTGTACCGGTTTTCAATTATTTTTGTTAGTTTTTGTGGTACCATTAGTTGTTCTAGGCACTTCCATATAATACTACAGTTAACCATGTCAAAAGCTGCTTTTAGATCCAAGAATATTAGGTATAGTTCACTGCTTGTTCATCTTCTAGTTGATTTTCCACAACTCTTCTTAACCTTTTTTGTATTATCTTTGTGTATAATTTGTAACTTGTAGATGATAGACATATGGCTCTGTAATTTTCACAGTTTGAGTAGCTTCCTTTTTTATGTATTAGTAAGATGATATTATCTTCCCAATCTTTCGGAAGTGTTTCCGACTCCCATGCGGTTTTCATCTTCATCATTACCTCTCCTAATTCTTCCATTATTATCTCTTCACTTACTATGTCTGTAGCGTCTTCCTTTATCTCATCTTCTCTTCCATCCTCTATTGTTTGTGTCCATTTTCTATCTTTACACTTTTCTGCATAAAAATCTTTATTAAAATTCTTTTATCTCGTTGTTTTTATCTTTGACGGCTTTCATTTCTTTCTTTTGATCTCCCTTTAGTTTTCTTATTTGATTCCAGAATTTCCTGTTATTCGATTCGTATGATGTTTCACTTAAGTTTGTTCCGAACTCTTTCCAACTTACCATATTCTTAGCTACATCTCTGTTCATTCTATAGTTTACTCTATCCTCTTCCGTATTCATTTTTATGTATTTCTTCCATGACTCTTTCTTCTTCTTGATTGCCTGTCGGACCTCTTCATTCCATCAGTGTGTTCTCTTTGTCTGATTATTATATTTTCTCATTCCACACATCTCCATAGCTTTATTTCGCATTATCTCTTTAAAAATTCTCCACCTTTCATCGCTTCTCTTTCGATTTCTATATTATTAATAGTTGCCATGACTACTCTGGTTGGTTCCCATGGTTCAGCACTCTTTGTCCATTTCTATTCATCACTGCTTCTCCCTGATCCTCATATTCTCGCATTCCAGTCTCCCATTATATAATTACTTCCTCTCCTTATTCTCTGGATATATCGAAGGTTTTCTGCAAAATTCAGTAAAAACTTCACAATTATTTTGTTGTATTGTAAATGAGCTTTAACTCCTTTCCTCTTGAGTTCCCTTAGTTCCGTCATTAAATAATATCTCCCTCTCTGAATTTTCTTAGAGTAGTTCTCATCTATCCATATGTTCGTTTATTTCAACTCTTTAACATTTTTTAGGATCCTTCTACCTTCTTTTGTTAGCTTTACTAATATCTCCGATATTCCTCATCAAGTTAATCACCTCTATTAATTTCAGTTAGAAAAATTAATAAAAGAAACTGATGCAGCTGAAGATTGGCGTGTAGATCCAGTATTACACGACGCTTGTATTACTGTCGTAAAAGTGGCGTGTAATGGTATAAAAGCTGGGGAAGCAAGGGTTATGACTTGTTTACTAGATAACATTGGAAACGAAGTAATGACCGATGAATGTGAAGACGCGCTATTTCAAATACAATATTTCGTCGCAAGAGATTTTAAATTAGACCCACAACTATACAAAGCATGTCGCGATGATGCAAATCGATTTTGTCACGCAGGAAAAGAATGGGAAGATCCAACAAATCATCCAGAAAGTGGACCTTTAGTTTTGCCCTGTTTGTATCGTTACGCTTATGGACCCAATAAAGACATGAAATTGAAACCAAAATGTTTTGAACAAGTAAAACGAGTAATGAGACAAAGAGCACTAAACGTTGATTTACACCCGGAAATCGAAGAAAACTGTTTGGAGGATTTAGCGATGCATTGTTTTGAAAAAACCGGAAAAGGTGAAGAGTTGCAATGTTTACAATTAAATTTAGAAAAAGTTAGCGATGTTTGTAAAAAAACTATCGAAGAATTCACCGAAGATGAAGCACAACACATTGAATTAAATCCATATATAATGAAAAATTGTAAAAACGAAATGAATCAACTTTGCGACTCCGAACTCGGGAATGAAGATGGTGATGTTATGAGTTGTTTGATTTCACACAAAAACGAAATGACAATCAAACGTAACAACAAATGCAAAATTAGTATAGAACATTTTCAAATTATTTCGCTTAAAGATTACCGATTTTCATACAAATTTAAAATGGCCTGTAAACGTTTTGCATTACAATTTTGTCAGAACGAAAAATCTAAAGCTGGTGTTGTAACGTGTTTAAGCGAAAAGGTTCTTAACGACACCATGATGGGCATTAAAAGCGAAATCCAAAAGGATTGCAGACAACAATTACGCGCACAACTTTTTTTACAAAGAGAAAGTATCAACAACGACCCAAAGTTATATTCGGCTTGTAAAGACGACGTTAAAAAATTTTGTGGAAATGTGCCTGCTGATTCGGCACAGGTAAAGGTTTGTTTTTGTTTGTAATTGTCAAAATATTACTGTTATTTTGTTTTAAATGGATTTATTAATATTAATCGTATTTAAAAAAGGTTTTAGAATGTCTTCAATCAACCCAAGATAAATTATCAGAAACTTGTCAAGTCGAATTATTTAAAATTAAACGTGAAGAAATCGCGGATAACACCGTTGATTACGCTTTAGTTACAAACTGTGAGGATTCTATCGATCAATTTTGTCCCAAAACTGAACGAGAACATGTTTTGGATTGTTTAAAAGTAATTAATTTAATATTTCCTTTGTCCAGAAATAAGTGTCCCATATCGGTTGTCGTTTTGAAAACACTTATTAATGGTTAAATTTTTCACTGCCATTAAAAAGTTTTGTAATTTTTCCTACTGTATAAGTTTTTAATCCAAAAAAACGCGACTTTTCTAGATCTCACATAAAGATTCGGATAAAGAAAATAATGGGAGAGAGGGAAAACATTTTGACAAGAAACGGTCGTAAAAGACCAAACTTAAGTCCCAACACAAGGGACTTAAGTTGTACTTTGTCATCTCATGTACATTTTGTCAAGCACGACTGATTCATTCTTTATACATCATGTTCCTTCTATTCGTCTCTGCCGGAATCGTCTGACGATGTCCAGCGTGTTGCATGTTCTCTGATTTATATGTTTCTCTTACTATGTTATTAGAATATATCTGGATATTATGCGTAGGGTTTGCATTTCATTTCTCAGCTGTATCGGCTCTGAGAAAAAAATCCTCCTCTTTTATCTCGATCCTAAGCCTGGATAAACGAGGAAGGTTTTGAGGTTAGGCCAATCACATGCCTCATGGAAAGCAAAGACAAGAGCTCATAGCACGCAACGACAAGCATCGGAACTGAAAAAGAATGAGACAAATCCATTCCAATATTTTTCTTGTCTGGTTCTACAGCCCTGGGTCAGAATATCCTTCCAGCCTTCCCTGTCTCGCGCTCTTCTTTGCCATGCTCTTATTCCCATTAATCCCTTTCTGTTTAAAAAGCCTTTTCCGAATTGAGTTCGGATACTTTGAATAAGGTTTTCCTTTCGCACCAACAGTTCTTGGCAGAAACCTTGGCAGAATGAAAGTAGATGGATGCAATAATTAGCAAAGTGCGGCAAATATAAATAAAGATAATTTTGATTTTGGGCTCTATCAACATGTAAAAAACATCAATTCAGTTTCAATACTTAAATGACTCTTATTTTTGGACAAAAAAAATCGATATTAGACACTTATTTCTGCACGGAGAGAGTAATTTCTTATAAATATATTTAAAACCTTATTTTTAGAAAAACAGAGATGAAAAAGGTTTCAATAAAAAGTGTCGTACAATAGTGATTCATCGAATGATCGAACAAAACTCCGATTACCGCTTAAATCCAGGTTTACACGAAAATTGTCAAGACGACATCAAAAAATATTGCAGTGAAATCGTAGCTCGTCAGAGTCCCGATCACGAATTAAATGGCAAGGTGATTGGATGTTTGAGAGATTCATTTCGACGATCAAGATTATCGAATCGTTGCGAAAAAGAAATGACAGATGTGTTACGACAACAAGCCCTCGATTTACGATTAAATCCTTTATTAAGGGTTGTTTGCAAAAATGAATTGAGCACAATCTGTCAAATTGATGAAGACGATAGTCGCGGAACAGCCGAGGAATGCTTAAAAAACGCATTGTTGAAGAAGCAAATTCACACGAAAGAGTGCCAAGATGAAATTGTTTATATGATTGAAGAAAGTCAAGCGGATATTAATGCGGATCCTTTATTACATGAAGCTTGTGCTTTGGATTTATTGAAATATTGTAGTGAAATTCCACAAGGAAGTGGACGACGTAAGAAATTGTTGATTAAAAATTAAACTAAATAAGTTTTTTTATATTTTGCAGATATAAAATGTTTAAAATATGTTTTGGCTGATCCTAAAAATAAACCATTAACGGATGAATGTGCAAATATGTTTAAAACAAGAATTGAAATGTATAAACAAATTGATTATGTAATTATTATTATTTCTTGTATTTTATTAGTGTGTGATTTTTTTGGGATTTTAGGCTGCACCTGAGAATTTAGTACAGCTATACAGTCAGGTGGCTTTATCTCCAGCAAAACATTACTTCCTCTTTTTAATCTTTTTGGTTATATCATCAATGTTGATGATTGGAATTTTTTGCGGAAGAGTTACAAAACGTCATATGCTTCTCAAAAATAAATGATGTTCGATTTACAGGAAAATACGGATTAAAAACCACACCAAAGGAGCAGCACTATAACAAGAAATAAAAATATATATATTATTTTATATAAAATAAATAAATATCAAGAATAAAATGTGATAGTCGTTGTAAAAACTACGAAATAAATCGTAATTTTCTAACAATAAAGAAAAGTTTGTTTTGAATTTGGCGGTTAAATTGTTATTGAGATCCGTGTTGGTAAGTTAGAGATCAGTATACAATATGGTGGGCAAAAGTAAAAACAGCTCCTGCCATTTTGCTGCACTGGTGCTTTAAATTTAACGTATTTTAAATTGCGTTAAGAACGTTAAACGTGTTTAGTGGATAAAACGGACGCTGAAAAGAAGCAAATGTTTAAATGGACGCATCGTCCATTATTACGCAAGTGTCAAGGGAAGACGAACAATTGAACAGCTACCCTCCCGAAAAAGGTAAATAATCAAGTGACAGACGGATACTAAAGTTGTCTTACGTTTAAGTTAAAATAGAAACTTTTTACACCTGTTAACGATTTAAACAACGATTCGTTTCGTTTCTTTTAAGAAATTTTTATTTTAGAGGCGATTAATTTTTGGATGCAATTTAATTTCGGTTTATTATAGTTATTTAAAGTAGGCGTGTGTCTCTGCTGAATTCAAAGGTAAACAAGCGAACGACGACGACGCTTCGTAGTAGCTAACCTTGAATGCGACCCTGAGAATAGGAAAATACTATTTTATAATAGTAGTTTTAGTAAAGTTCCTTTTGTATATTAAGGAGAATACATTATATGTTCGAAAAAAAGAAAGAATTATGCAAATGGTTTTTTATAAACGTTCCACACCTGTATATGTGGTGACCTCTTTTGAAGACTCTGTCATCTGGTTGAATGTGCTTTCACATTTTTAGAATTTATTACATTTTACTAACGAAACGCATTTGTTTCTAAAATCTTTTCATTTGTTTAAAAAAAATGACGTTTTATCTAAACAATTGATTTTTACTTTTGCTACTTTCTTGTTTTAATATGTTTCGGGAATTGTTCTTAATTTCTGGTTGAATCTGGACTATTTTTTATCGTGATTTTTTTTTAGAAATTACAAAAACCGCAAGTTCTACGTTTTTGTTGCTTTTTTAATAACAATTTAAGAATCATTTAATAATCAAAAAATTATAATAAATTTACGAAAAACAATAAATAAATTATTTAAAAAAAAAATTTATTTAGATTGAAAACTATTGTTATAAATACGAATGTTATCTTATCAAGTTTCGTGTGGCATTTTTATTTTTCTCTAAAGAAATTATTAAAAATCAAACGAATACAGATAAATAAATTAATCAACTATTCTTTTTTTTTTTTTCGATTAATGAATTAATAAAAAAATTATCAAATCGAAACGGAATAAGGATTATTTTAACTCGTAAATGTTATCGTTTACAACATTGTTATTGCGAATTTTGTATTTGTTTCAACAATATTCTTTTCAAAATATTTAACTTTATAAATTCGAATGGAAACTATTTAACCAAGTAAAGTCGATAAGGAATTATTGATTTGTGAAAGCGTGAAAATAACGTTTTCACTTTGAATTGATAATGGAATATAATTTTTATCTATAAAGTTATTGTTACAAGCCTTAAATATTGAGTTATCAATAAGATATAGCGTATTCCATATTCAGTAATGCAGCCGAAGATTACTTCTAATATATTTCTAAAGATGTCTCTGCTCTCAATAACTATTGCAATGAGATGTCAAGCTTTGTGTCCACAAAAAATAGTTCAAGCAAGTTTATCAGCTGCTTCAATGTCTACCATGAAGATATCACCAAGATCCAAAGAAACAAGTTTTATTATCATTTGCCTCCTTTTCTAGATGATTCTTAGCATCAAAGTCTATAAGATCTATTATATATTAAGCCCTCAAAATGTTTAGGGCACATGTATGAACCTTAGTATTGCTCCAAGATCTTGTTCCTTTATGTCGGTAGGTGTTAGGCGTACTTTACCTAAAATTTTGTGTCTTAGGCGGCATTTGGCGATTCATTAACACAGTATATGTTTAGCAGTCTCTGACTCGTCGTTACAAAGTCGACAAGTTTGATCCTCAGCTTGTCCAATGTAGAAGAGATGGTATTTTAGAGGCGCATTTTGGTTTCCACGAAAAATAGTTCATCTGCTGCTTCAATGTCAACCATGAAAACATCACCGAGATCCAGAGAACATTTTTGACATTCTTCAATGTGGTTAGTTTTCATGCCCATGCGTCAGATCATTTGTTTGACAACATCATAATAGCTAGCTCATTATGATTTATCTCTTTTCGTAGATGATGTGATGAAAAAGCAATTTGTAGGAAAAGTAAAAGTCCAGAAAAAGCCAATATGAAAAAAAATATTGATAACTAATCTGAAGAGAAAATTAATCGCGCACATATGTGTTTTTTTTAAGGGGGATTAAAAGAACATAATTTATTGATCCCATACAAATACAAAAAGTTTGCACAAGTAACAAAATACAGAGATAACACAAATTATAATCTAAAATCAATGTTTAACAACCAACAAGGAGTGGCACCGCAAAATAATCGTTCACTTTGCGTCCAATTCCTTAATAGATTTCTTATTAGTTTTTTGGCTTAAATTTGAAACCATCATTAATATCTTGTATTCAGAATCAACGCGAATTTTTGTATCATTCAATTTATGTTTCAATACTCGTTTGGCTATTTCACACATTACTTGTATCAAATTATTATAAAATCAAAAAGCTTGACTAAGATCGCATAATAATGTTCAAAACCTGACGAGCTGTGGAGTTATTGATTCTAAGACCGAACTAATTTAAAATCAATTATTTTGTTAAATTATAAATTTTGGGAATCTATAACAGGTGTGGAACATATCGTTGAGGTTATTCGTATTGCTCTTCTACAATTTTCGGTATTTTAAAATGCAATTGGAACGTCTAGTTATTATGGAGTCATTAAATAGTTTCGTCGAAAGGGAACTCTGCTGCTTGACCAAAGAGAATGTCTTATCAGTACCTTAAAGTGTACTGCATAGCGCGAAAAAAGCAATGAAAGCGAAGTGCAGAACGCAGTGTCCCTATAAGCCCTTATCCAGGAGAGGAAAAGCCTTCGTATCATCTTTAATGGGATGTGTGAGAACAAAATACGTTACATCAATTGTAACGAAAACACCATGCCATTAGCAGAATTAAGGTCATAGATGTGTATCGAGGAAGATTGTGAATGCCAAACCACAAGGAAGGCATAAACTGAGATGTGAGGAGAAATAACAGGACGCGACCAAGGTTCGGTTTAGAGGGTAGAGGAAAGCTGCACGAAATAAGGATGAGTGAAGGAGGAACCTTTAGGTGGCAAGGATCCGAAGATGGTTGTAGCGCCACATACGATGTTTATGCTCAATATACATCATATATAGATACCTAAATTGATTATCTTTAGACATCATATTTATATTCGCCCAAACACAATACAACATATTTAACAATGTGTAGACCTCTGCTATAGATGGTTAACCTAGCTGCTTTCTTGATGTGCTAATGGGTTGGCGATAAAACAAGCAAAACTGAGATATCGAATAAATGTCATATATTATGTGTTTCTAGAAATGGGCATAATATGAGAGACAACTCAATTATAATGAAAATTTGAAACCTCATTCTTCGCATTAACTTTGTTGGAAGTTTTGTGTCAAATAAAAAATGTGACAAATGCAAAACTAGTTATATGTAAGGAAACGGGCGTTGTTTTGAATTGGACCCCCTTGTGCATACTCCCAAACATAACCTGTTGTCACATCAACCAGCCTAAGGATTTACCAAAGGCCAGGACATCACTCAGAGGTAAGTTCCAGATATCATCTGTGGTCGGTCATGCCTCCCCGAGGATCCTCATTCTGAGGTCTGTCAGAGAGGGGCAATCACATAAGATGTGTCTAGCGGTCTCGTCGTCCCATTTACAGGCTCGACAGAGAGGAGAGTTAGCAAGCTTCAAGTGTGCCGCGAGGAGACCTGTGGCTAACCGGAGAGCGTTTTTTCCAAGCCCTACGAAAAACTAAGCTGTGATTTTTGAAAGATATTTTAACAAATCCTTAGCAAGATAGCAGCCCGCGGTTTTCTCCCACGCGTTTAGGAACTTTTTGTGGGTAATGTGCTTGATCATGTTGATATGAGTAGCTAAAGAACTCTAACATAGGGATTTCTGCTGGGAGTACGCTTTGCCAGTCTGTCCGCGTGTTTGCTACCCATAGAGCCGGAATGCCCCTTGATCCATTGGATAGTGACACGATTATATTTCGTGGCCTCCTCCAGTGCTAGGTGAGAGTCCATTATTAGTACAGACGTTATCCTAACGCTGCTTAACGCTAAAACAGATTGCCTACTGTCTGTGTAAATAGTAAAAACTAGTTATTACAGCTTGTAAGTTTTCTAGAGATGATATCAATCGAAACACAATTGAAAACAGTAGTAGGTTTAGTTTTGTTATCATTCAGAGAATGAACTCAATCTTAAGTGATACTTTATAATAAAAAGGAGTCCTAATGGGATGTAATTGTTTATAAGTGTTCAATTTTAATTTACATTATTATATATACTTAAAAAAATGAATAATAGAATAAAATCAATCAAAAATCATTTATTTGGTGAAAAGCAGAATGATCCTTTTTTGCGGGTTAATCGAGAGATTTTTCCTAATAGTAAGCGTAAATAACACCTACGCCATCGACAATCAGAGGGCAGTTACCGCCCAGTTAAATAGTATGGTTGACTTTATTGACAAATAAGAAAAAGCGCAAAGTACCTTACTTTGTGCCTTTTCATGGCTAATACATGAATAGTCTATTACACAAATACAATGCGAGATCTGGTGGGATCTGGACAAATGGTAGCATACTGAAAATATCCTTCCTGAATCTTCGAGGAAAATGGTCAGAAACATTCTTAAAGTGGTGGGTAGGAAAAATTTCTTCTTCGTCGGTAGTAATATTGTTAGCCTAGCAAGTCTAAACCATTACCCTGATTTTTCTGATCTTTTTAAAACCGTTGTCTTACCACTTAAGTCAGCTTAGAGACTGTCTCAGTTTTCTAGATGATGAATATTGCAACTATTATAATAGATTTAAGCATCTACCCGCCATTAGATGGCGGTAGTTTGTAATTTACCTCATATTATGAGGTTGATTGATTAGAAAAAAAAAACAACACGATAATTAAATAAAATTCTTGAAGATCACGCGTATCCATGAATTTTAGAGATGAAAATAAATATATTATTTTATGATGAACAAAAATAGAATAGCGTAAAATAAAATAAACAAGTTTCGTATTACTTCGATTTTATTTTTATATATCCGTTTTTTTTTTTATTTGAAATATGTTTTATTTTAATTTCTTTGTTCTCAGGCACAATCTCTAGAGATGAAAGCGATTTATCAGAGGGTAAAGTTCAAACCCTCAAGAAAAAGAGAGGATTCTTTCAAACCATTTTATGCTGCTGGGGTCGTGACAAAAAGGAACCAACTCATCCGCATTTATTCGATTTCGATGCGAGATCGATTGGCGGACCACCACGGTATTTATTGCCGGCTGTCCGACACCAAGATATGCACAAAAAGTGTATGGTTATAGATTTAGATGAAACACTTGTACATAGCAGTTTCAAAGTAAGAAAATTATCTTGTTGATTATTTTTTTTATTATCGTTTGTTTTTGAATTTAGCCAATAAGTAATGCGGATTTTGTGGTACCAGTAGAAATAGATGGAACTGTACACCAGGTGTACGTATTAAAGAGGCCGTACGTGGATGATTTTTTAAAAAGGATGGGAGAATTGTACGAATGCGTTCTGTTTACGGCGTCGTTAGCAAAATACGCGGATCCGGTCGCTGATTTGCTGGACAAGTGGGGGGTTTTTAGGACTAGACTGTTTAGGGAAAGTTGTGTCTTCCATCGAGGAAATTACGTCAAGGACCTGAATAAACTTGGACGAGAATTGCAGCAAATTGTTATCGTTGATAATTCACCTGCTTCCTATATATTCCATCCAGACAATGCGGTAAGTAAACAAAATCACAAGTTTATAAATAACTCAAAAGTGTTCTTTTTACGTGTTTTAACTCGATAAAATTCAAGTCGGGTTGTTGAGATTTTGCGTATTTTTGAGACGTAAAAAGGAATGGAAATATCTTTCTATTTTGAGATGATGGGTTTTAAAAGAAATATGTTGTTATTTAGGTACCAGTGGCATCCTGGTTTGACGATATGTCCGATTCAGAACTATTAGATTTAATACCATTTTTTGAAAGACTAAGCAAAATGGATAACGTGTATACAGTGTTGTGCAACTCAAACCATCCGTACAATAGCAGCGTGCCCCAATTGACGACGATAAACGGACCGATGTCTGGCCAACAATCACCATCAAATACGTAGCACAAAAATCGAGTTACAAAAAGGACCCAAAAAAATAGATCGCTGTTCGTACAAAACGTTGTAAAGATTCTGTTTTTTGTCGTTAAATCTTTTTACGCGATCGACAACGTTTTCGATTATTAAGTTTTTTTTTTCACCCCAAGAAAACAATTTGAAACTAATTAAATTAATTAAAAAACTAATTAATTTAAAACAAAAAAAAATGTTCTAAATACAAAAAAATAAATAAATTTTTAATCTGTGATGTTAAGATTAGTTCTACTTAAAAAAAAACGAAAAAATAAAAAAAAATGGTAAAAAAGAATTGGAGTTGAAAAAAAGTGTTTAGAATGTTTTTTTTTCGGTTTCATTGTGGTTTTTGCTTTGAAGATATAAAAAAAATAAAAATGATACCATAAGAAAGAAAAAATCCATATTTTTTCATCCAAAATAGAAAAATTTATAGTTAGATTTATATCTAAAGTGCAGTTCTATTTCAAGCTGTATTCCTAAGTTGCATTTTTATTTTCAAATTTTATCCTCACTAATCAATAAAAAGGAAACAAAAAGAAAATTTAAACTGAAAATCAAAATTTAAATATCAATTTATAATAACAGGTTTCGGTTCAATGATCATCCTCACGACTATGACTTTCAGCAAAAAATGCATATTTTTTAACTATTAATTAACCCAATTTTTGATTGCTTTTTATAAATATTTATTTTCCACAACAAAAAAAAAACAATTTTTTTTTATAATTAATTCATTATTATACAGGATATCGCAAAAAATTTCAAATATATATTTGATTTTCATCAATATTGAGTATTTAATGATAGTACGAAATTGTTCAAGGTCATTTATTAACATTTTCCTCAAAATTCTTGAATTATTATTTTTGAAATATTCTGTATACCAAAATAAAACTCAAAAAAACTTTTTGACGTTAAACAATCATATCTCTGTCGAGGTGATTCACAAATTTGGGAACAACAAAAAAGTTTTCCCAATTAAAAAAAAAAAGATTAACAGTGGCCTTAAAGAATGAAAATATCATGACATAAAGACATACTGAGCTTTCAACATTTTGATTGTACACGATTTACTGTAGAAGAAAAACAAAATAAAACGATGGATGAGATCATTTTTTACACACGGATTTTTCACGGCGCATTATTTGCCTTTAATGTTAGTTTTTTTTGGTCAACATTTACCAAAAAGAAAATGATTGAACAAAAATATAATCAGGTGTTCAGGATAATCATAAATTACCATATTGGATCATTTAGAAAAGGTAAAAAATACAGAGATTTATTTAAATGAAACATTTGTTGTAAAATGAATGATTTTTTTTGAACAGGAATTATCTGTATTTTTACCGCATTTAATTTTCATATCATCCATTATAATTATCCGGGACACCTCTACATATTGTCTTTAAAGAAATACGCCACAAACTATTTTTATTTATCATCCGATATTTTTATACTAAATATAAATAATAATTATTAAATTTTTTGAAAAAAATCCAAACACGACTTGATTATCTTCCGAAATAGTTAAAATAACTTGTATTATCAATTTTTAGGCTAGATTTCAACCCGCAAGTTGCTTATTTATTGAGATAAAGCTATCATGTTTGGATTTATTTTAAAGGAATTTTAATTTTGACGAAATAAATTGTTTTATTTGTTTCATTAACCACATCTTTCTTTGATTTTATTATAAGCAGAAATGATCAAAATAAGTGTACCATGTAGGTATTAAAACAACGTTTAAAAATGTTATATGTTGAAATTTTTACTCAAATTGTCTGGGAAAAGCTATTTATTTGTTAAATCCAACTAAAAAGTTCTCTTCTCTTAGATGTTGTGGCTAAACCACTAATTGCTTTACTTCTATAACATGATTTTGAGCTTGAAGATTCTCGTAATCCCGAAATGTTATTGATGTGGTCCATATTTGATGTGTAAAAATATTTTTTATCTGAAATACAAAATGTGAAATGCAACAATGATGAATGAAATTTTCCGTTTTGTAATAATGAGTATTTTCTAGTCAATTGTGAATTATTAAAATATTAATAAAATCTGATATCCTATAGTTGTGGTAAAACATAAACTCATCTTACACTTTTGATATTGGCCGATAGTATCTTCCTTTTTCGACATTATTGATCAATTATACTTTTTTTTTGTAGAGATTCTGCTATTTCCATCTGAAATTTTTGCAAATTAGTGACAATTTTAGTTTGTATAAAGTACTCTTAAGTCCTAGTACGTTCTCTTTATCTCGTTGTTTAGTCCTTTCATATATTTGTTGGCGATTCTAAAATATATACAAAAAATGTCAGCTTTCGTTATTTTTTTTAAGTCTTAAATTTCACCATGTTAGTCTAAATCATTAAGACTTACCATTTCGAATGCATTCCATTTCTTGCTAATTACATTGGGAAATTGATTTAATTGTGATAAATAGAAAGGTTCTAAAACTATGTAGTTTTCTTCCTTTGCATAATTTGGCATAAAGACCATACACTCATAATTGGAACTGTTTCCTCTTTTTGATGTTTTTCATAAATTTTACATCTTTCGAAACATTACGTTTTGAACAACTGATCGAACCGGCAAATAAACATTTTTACAGCATCTAATTTGAGGATACAAACACAATACACTGTGCTCACACAGCTGCTTTTAACATTTTTGCAATTAGGAACAATCTGGGAATAATCAAAATATACTTCATGTGTCTAAAATCAGTCTATGAGTGTTAATGTTTTTTTTTTGACATTTTTTTTTTTTTTATGGTTTGATGTTGACTAATTTACGCTGAGTAATTAAAGATAATATTTTCCTTGCAACCCTATTTTCGCGCATTTTAAAACGTTACCAACAAGATGGTTGAAATACAACGGTATAAGTAAGTCTTCATTATAAGTCATCAAAAGCTGTAAACTTTTGGCATAATGTTTTCATGTTTCCCATGTAAAGCCAGTCTTACATCTAGTCATGTTTTTCGGCAGATGATCAATTTTTGATTTAAAACAAACTACGTTTCACAATAATTTTTCTGTACCCAGAAAACAATGGTGAATTTCGCGAACAACTCTAAAAATATTTTTTGTTTTTAATTTTCAGACAGAAAATTTATTGTTATGTTAGCTTTTTCGAGAATCATTGTTGGGAATCAAAATTCTTACTCAAAGCCCCTTGATATAATTTAGATTAATTGATGAAGTCTAAATCTTATGTGTTTAATGGGCTTTCCAATGATATATAAGTGTTTCAACTATTGTACGAATTATGGTTTGACTATGCCGTGATATTCCTCATCTATTCAAAGTTCAAAAAGTCGTATTAACATAGCCATATAGTGGCCAAATTGGAAAACTTATAACATATTCAAACTTATTGCATGTAATGTATTCTGCATTCACATGCTTATAACTCGTTCAACTTCTTTTATATCAAATATCACATTATAAAATATTCTGAGTGAATGAACCTCAACAGATGATTTAGGTATTGCAATTATTGATGTCAACAATGTTTTCATTGCTTACATCCTTATCAAGTGTTAAGCTTCTGAAGAAAAAAATTAATTTATGATAATGTTCTAGATGTAGCATTACAATTTTCACAACTACAATAACGAATTGTTTTATAAACAGACATTACAGAAATTATTGTAAATTTTTTAATTTTACAAAAACTTCATAAAAGAAAATGGACCAACTCAATGATGTAAATGAAATAGTCAAGGTTAAAAGCGAAAAGCTTTTTCGAATAATTACAGTTACCTCATTAGTATTTCTACATTTTCCACAATTAAGTTTTAAAGAAAACCATAGAAAGATAACGTTCATTACTTACAATGATAAATTGAAAGCGGTAAATTTAAAAAATATAAATAAATTAATAATATTTATTCTGCAATCATCAGCCAGAAACAAAAATATCAAGATATCATTCAATAAAGTAAGTTTCTACCGTAGAAATGATCATGGCATAATTTTGAGATTATTTCTTGGTTTCCATTACAATTAATATGTTATTATATTGCAAATTTTAAACGTTGTTTTAAACACCATTCTACGTACAAAAAAGTTATAAACATATTGGATAATAAATAAAAACATTGAATTAATTCGAACATTTTTTAAAGATAATATTGCAACATAATTATAACAAATTTATTGATAAATAATAATAATAATTTTATTATAAAATATATATCGATATAAGTTTGTAAAAGAAACATCACATTTAGAATTGGTAAGAATTTTTTTTTAATAATTATAACGACGCTTTTTTAATTTTTATTATTGTTTTTTTTTTTTTTATTAATTTGTTAGATTGATTTTATACTAATTATTGAAACGGTGTAAAGTTGATCTTGATATTTTTTTGTATGTAAAATCCTAGAATGTAAAATAATGTTTGCATTTGTTGGAAAAAAATTAATATAGTTTCAAGTACAAATATGTGTTACAACAAAGTTTATCTTTTTTATTAAGCTTATTCATTAATTTATTATTAAATAAATTAAAAAGAAAGATAAATGTTGTTGCTCGAGTAGATCACGTTATTATTATATTGGTTTTTATTTAAAGAATAATTATTGTACAGTAGACATTAAAAAACTATGTTAATTAAAAAAAGAAACGCAATAAGAAGTAATATATTTTATTAATTATATGTTCCATATACGCATAGAGATTGTTTAAAAAAAATAAATCTATACAAATGTGTATATAGTTATGTTGATAATTTATCACCTTTTTTTTGTATATTTTTTTTAATATCTTTTTTCTCTATTTTTTCTTTTGGAGGAGGAGTAGGTTTGAAATATTCTGCAAATATTCTACATAATACCTCACATTTTTTTATAATATCTATAAAAAAAGAGGATATCTTATTTATATATATCTAAATAAGTTTTTAACTATGGTTAAAAACGTTGAGATTTGCTTGTTAGAAAAAAAAAACCGTATTAAAAAATAATTTGTAGCGCGGATTACTAACAAAGAAAACACACACACAACAATGAAAAATTCGTAAAAAGTACCTAAAAATATTTCGATAAAACAGAAAACTTTAACCCCAAAAACGACTTGTATTGGACCAAATAATTACGTAACAAATTTACTATAAAAATAAACCAGAATTAATTAATTAAAATAATTGACAAAACATATTTTGAGACATTACTATCTACGTAATTTTTTATAAGCCTTATAAATAATTAACACATAAATGACTATTAAAAAAATACTAAATAAATTGGAAGAAATTAATAATTGGGTCAAAAAAAAGCGAAATACTTAATGTTTTGATGTGAGGTGTTTTTCTGTTTTGTCTACTATTATTTAATAAATATGTACTAATTTACTTTGTTTAAATCAAACGTATTTTTATTTATCGCGAGTATTTTGTAAATTAAAAATAACCTTGTACAATATTAAGTGTTTTTCGTATGTAATTTGTCTTTGTGAAAGAACATTAATATGCCTTTGATGATTTGTAAATAAAAAAAATTGCCTGTCATTTATTATCCTGTGAAATGGTGTATTATTACTTGTTATAAGTAATAAATTTATAATAAATCTGCATTCCTTAAAAAAAAACTTTTCATTATAGATAATTTACCTAATAAACATCTTCATTTAGTACGTAGTAGTCTCATCATCTGCATCATTGATACATGATATGTAATTAGCATGACTAAGTATCTCACGACACCTGTTTTACATTTAGAGTAAAGAAATTACAGAAAAACCTATTTAATGTTGTGATTGATGAGTATATTTAAATATAAATATTAGCGCTCATAGATACAATCCAACTCGGGTTATTCCCCAAGTTGCTCTATTCTATGTTTATATATAAATTCGGGGTATTCCCCGAGTTGTCTATACGATGTATAAATCAAGGATGGTAATTCTAGTTTTAATTGTTAATCAGCGCCAGATTGTAGTACATTTTTATTGTAGTAAAACTAGAATTATAGTTCTGGTGACAATTTTAGTTCTAGTAATAGTGTTTGTGTAAAACTGGAACTAACACTAGACCTAGAACTAGAAACATTCGGGTTTAGCCGCACGTCTCAAGACGGCTAAACCGGAATGTTTCTAGATCTAGTGTTAGTTCTAGTTTTATTTGTTATTCAGCATTAGATTGTGGAACTGGAACAAGATTTGTTATATTATGAACCTTATTAAGTCTCAAACTAACAACATCACAAAACACGAATAGAATAAATGAAGCATTTTCTAATTCAAAGTGTGAAATAGTAGTTGCTTACCTATGCGTGACGTCACGAACGGGCCTTCGAGCTGTGCACCTGTTTATATGTGTGTATATATATATATATGCAAAAACTGCAAAATTAACATAAATGAGTTCAAATCCTTTTTAGTACATTTTATTTAAACATAAATAATAAATTACATACATAAAAATAAAATCAAATAACAATTAGAATAATACGAAATATTAATATAAATGAATATTTAAGAAATTAATATCACAAATTTAATACCTAATTATATAATTAATCTATGAACACTGGCAGATACGTTTAAATTTTTGTTGTTACTCTTAATTTTTCTTTTAAACAAATTCAGTTCTCGACCACATACACATAATTTTTCTTCATACACATTTTATTTACAGAAAAAAAAATCAAATTTGATATGTTTTCGCCTTTTTTTAATTTAAATTTATTTTTGTTGACTAATTTTCAGGTAACCGAAATTTTTTCCAAAAGTATTTGTTGATAGCACGCTTGTAACGTGGTAAACATCAAGGCTAACTCGCCGATACTCGCATTCGGATCGTGAAAATCTTCGATAAATTTTAATTCCGATCCTAATTGCGGTATTCTCGCTCTGACAACGACGTAAAGAAAGGCCGGAAATAAATCGTCCATATTCCATTTATAATGATCTCCCAATTTTCTTTGAACAGCATCCGTCATTTTCTCAAATGTATTTCGAATCACGTTTAATTTTTCAATTGGTGAAAATGTTGTTTTTAATAATTGCAATGTTTCAATCGCTTCTACAAAATGTTGATCTTTTACTCTTGGTATTGGTGAAAGTGGTTCTTGAGTTTCGGAATTTAAGAATTTCCTACAACAAAAACATTTTAATTTTTATTAAGACTTTTTTAAATAAAATCTCTTACTGATTAACACTTAAAAACGCCATAAGTGTATAATCTGGTTGTTTATTCCATTCGATTAATCTTTTCCAATACTGAGCATCGCAGCTTTTACATTTTAAAGTATAAAGTGTGAATAGAGATGAATGTACTCGTGGTAAAATAATAGGGTAAAGTAATGATTGGCAACTAACAACATTTTCTTCAATGGCGTTTCCATTAACAATAACTTGTTCTTCATAACTAGGAAGAGCTGGGAATAATAACCGTACAATATCAAATAATCTTTCAGTTATTGATCTTAATTCATTTACAGCGTGTACTAATAATAATGCGTGTGGTCTTAATCCACCATAACTCGTTGTATAAGCAACAGTTAAGTCACTTAAAAGTGACCCTAAAGGATGATAGGAACATTCAAAAGCTTTATTTACATATTGTTTAATCAATTGAAAACTATTCGAATCGATACTTTCCCTTCCATATTGAGGAATAGTATCCAAATTATTTACAGAATTTTCGATTCCGCGATCCGATTTATTTTTAACACTAACTTGGAACGAATTTGAAATAACAACAGCAACATTTTGCCAAATTTTTTGCGTATCGGGTGTTTTTTTAACATTAGCTTCGGTCGTTCCAAGAATTTGATGGCAATATCTAAAGAGGGATTTCCATTTTTGATCGACAGGAGTACAAAAAGTACTGAACGTTTTCGGCGGTGAAACTTCGATCTCTTTCGATAACGAAAGAACTCCATTTGAAATTTTTATCCCTTCGTTCCAAGAACCGGTTAGGTTACCTTCTAGAGTGTGACCGGAAGTTAGTGTTAAAATTCCTTTTCCACCCAAAATTCCGGTTCCTTTAAAATCACCCTCGTAAAATGTTCCATCTTCTAATATCATTAAACCATTACCCTATAAAAATTAATTTAATAAAGTATTGTATTTCAAAGCGGAAATTGTTTAATAATGAAAGTGGGTTGAAATGTATTATAAAGTTGTAAGGATTAGATTAGATTTTATTAAAAAAATATATAAGAAAAGAGAAGCATTTCTTGATGAGGAAATATACTGTGGTGTTTTTTTGCAAGAGTATCTTTCTATGTTTGGAATTCTCATCAGGCGATTAAATGTTTACTCGCTTTTTTCTCAATAGTTCTTTTCCGTCCTCTCCATGCTCCGTGGAGGTTTGAGTCAAGAGCTAATATCCAATTGCTCTATGAGGCTTCCTTAGCTTGTGGCCAACACAAGGCCATTTCCTCTTCTTGACTTGTTGGGTTGTGCTCTCTTACAAGTCCTTTTTGACTTGCTGATTCTGCTTCATCTTGCAGTCTTTTAAGCTTTCCTCCATGTCATAAAATCCTTGTAAGAGTAGGCAAGTGTTTGCAAACTCAAGATCCTCAAATCTATGTAGCATCCCCCACGAAATGCAATTTCACCTTCTTTCTATAACTTTTTTCATCACTTTATCCAATACTAGGAGGAACAGTATGGGTGACAGAATACACCCTTATCTCATCCCAGAATTTGCTTGCTTAGGATCGGTACGTTTTCGAGTATACATCATTTGATACTCATACTCCACATACATCTCTTGATAATACATACATTGATGATCTTCAGAGAGTCAAGTATGATGAGAAATGACTTTCTTGTCCTCTATTTAGAATCTTGGGAAAATGATTTTTCCACCTCTTGAGCTGGTCTTCTTGTGTTGTCAACAGTTGTTCATCCCTACCTCTTAGAAGTCTACTCTTATTGAAGGCAGCATTTTTGTAATGCTATATAGGTCATTGGCATCAGTTCTTGCTGCAGCAAGCTCTGCTCTATGTGCTTGTTTGTCTATTACTTCTCATCATTTCCCATACTTTTCTTTACTACAGCGTCGGTTGCAGTATACTCTGCCTGTACTTAAGCTTTTTGCTGTCTTGCTAATATTTAATCCTGTTTTTATCTCCTTTCTACAACTAATTAGATCCCACGTATTCTCAGACATCCAAACATTCTTAAGGTTATTTCTGAAGCCAAAAACAGTATATGTTCTTGATTTGGACCCAAGTAACTTCACTTGCTAGAATATGCTGAATCGAACCTGCTTTCTTAAATAAGTGTGTAATGCAAGACTACCATTTTATTTATACCACTTAAATATACATTTCTCAACTATATCCTATTTATTAAGTTATATCTTACCGTAAGAACATCTTGATTAAAAATTCCTTCATAATAAACCCCTTCTGATGTAACGATTAGTCCTTTTCCATGTTTTTTATTATCCAACCAAGTCCCCAAATATTTATCACCAGTAACGATATCGTGCATAACCCCATAACCATTTTTTGTGCCCAAAATCCAACCTCCAATGTAAATCGAAGCTGAGGATGCGGTAAAATTGCCTTGTTTTAAAGAACCATGTCCGTGGGGTTGACCATCTTTAAAATAACCTTTATAAACATCACCGTTTGTATATTTTAAAATTCCAAAGCCGTTTTGTTGATTATCTTTCCATTGTCCTTCGTAAACGCCTATATTTGGAAGGGTAATTTTACCAAATCCGTGCATTTGGTTGTTATTAAATTGTCCTGTGTAAATTTTTCCATCAATCCAGGTAAGTTTTCCGGAGCCGTGCATTTTAGCGTTTAACCACCTTCCAGTATAATTAGCGTCTTTGTAATATCCGTTTTTCGTAAATGTATAAGAAGCTGTTCTTAGTGAAGGTGGTTGATGGGCGTTTGATTTTCCTAGTGCATTTTTAATCGCTTGTTGTAAAGTATGAAACCATTGAATTTTATCTTCAGCTTGAATTGTGTAAAGCTCGATCGTTTCTTCCGGCATTTTTAATGAAATTTGAAACTGTCCGTTTGATAAATCTTGTTGTGGTTCAACCCAAATTGTTTTTAAATCATGTCTAACTATCCAAGAACCGTTAATGTGAACAAAACAGTCATTTAAAAGTATGAACCAGTGCGAAGAAAATAAACCCGCGTTATGAAGGTTTATTGGAAACGATCGACTTTCTCGAATTAATCTACGTTCGGGTTTTTTTAAATTTTCTACGGTTTTACCGAAATTATTCCAAAATTCATTTGTACGATTAGCATCGTTTAATAGTTCCTCTTGTTCTTCAACGAAACTATTCCATTTATTATAAATATCATGATATTGCTGTTTATTCGTGTTATTGATCATATTCGAAAATAATTCTAAATAATAACTTAATTTATTGTAAGGATTCATGAGTATTGTGTTAATGAGCATTTCATCGTTTTTTTTATCTTTCTTAAATGAGTTATTTCCATCGATACTTTTATATAAACCTAAGGGAATATCTAAAATTCTCGATATGTATTTACATCCACTTATACTTAATACGTTATATAACGAATTTAAATAGTTTTTATAAATAAATAAATGTTCTTCAACGTATTTAAACATAACAACATCACATTCGCTTATTTTATTATTGCAATAATCCGCTAAAGTTTTTACATTAGCCGCATTAAAATGTAATAATTCCATATAAGTTGTACATAAATTTTCGTACAACATTGTTGAATCAGAACAATTTTTCTTTTGCAAAATTTTTATAAAACCACTTTGTATTGCTAACATTTGCTCTAAATGCTCTTGTTCTTTTAACAAATACGGTACCATAAACTCATTGTTATTAAAAATTTCATTTAACCCCGTTATATTCAACGTAGAAAACAATTTATTCGGTATAAAATATTCATTGTTTTCGAAATTATTCATGTTTTGCATTTTTTTATTTATATCATTTGTACTAATATCAGACGTTTGAAGTTTTACGAGTTTTGCTGCCGTCTTCCCAGTATAAAATAACTCGTTATTGTACGTTAAAACGGACGTATGATAAGAACCGCAACATAAATCTTTTACACGTTCCGACGATTGAACGTTATTAAACATTTTCGGTGAACTTTGATCCATATCCGAATCAACCGTTACCTGATTAAAATCGTTTCGACCCCACAAAAAAGCTCGACCATCTAAAGTTAAAACGGCTGCGTGGTAACTTTGTACCGATATCTTAATAGCCCCTATATTTGATAGTTTTGTTATTATCATTGGACGTTCTCTCTTTATTATATCACCAAGACCTACAAATTGTTTTAAAAAAAATAAATATCTATACAGGCAGGATGTTTTTGTAAGTTGTGGCATAATTTTAATCACAAATACTAGAGTAAAATTTGTCACGTGGTGAAAATAATCATATGAACGCAATCACATGGTTGTGGTCCTTACATGCCTCTGATATTGAGTGTGGATATGGGTTTGGCGTAAAGGGTTAAGAAAATGTTTAAAAACTTGTTAATTTGAAGGCCCATACTTAGGATACTTACCCATTTATACAGGGTTTATACAATACTTACTAAACCGATTGAAACCGTTATAAAAGTTGTTTGACTCACCACTTTCTATTACGTAAAATTATTTTCACTTATACAGACTGTTCCATTTAGGCGTAATGGAGAGTATATAAATTTTATATACTGTTACTTATATACAGTGAATAATCATTATTCACTGGTAATTAACTTAACAGACTAATAATTATTTGAAACGTCAAAATTTCAAAAAACGTCAATTTAATTTAATTTTTTTAGGACTTTCTAAAGGTTTGATATTAATAAAACGTAAACAAATTCCTTTTTTCATATGATTTAAGCATAAATTAATTAATTTTCATAAAAAAAACATGACGCTTTATAAAATTGACATTTAATTTTGACAAATTGTTGTGAAGTTGGTTACAGTTGGCAACATTAAATTTGTGTCACATTGACGTTTAAACTTTACTCAAAAATTTATTTAAAAAATAGTATATTATTATATGATATAATGAGCGCTATTATTCACTAATGTTAAGTTTATGTCACGAGCGTAGCGATTAAGTGTATGACAGATAGTAGTCAAAGCCAGTAGGTAGAGGATAGTATATAGGGTTTTTCAATTCTTCAAGTTTTCTTTAAATTCTATATATTAGTAAAACTTCTAAAGTTAGACATACTTATCATTAATTAAAGAGAACTTGATGGGCAATTTAACCAGCACGCAATATACAGGCGTTCTATTTAAAAAACTTATGAAAAAGCCATTTGAAAGTAGCATCAAAAGTAGCTAAACTTTATGAACACGCTGTATCTAATAGGTTTGGATACTATCCTCTTTTATTTGTATGGCTTTAACTATTATCTGACATACACTTAATATCTTAGGAACTATGAACGCTATGAGTTAGTAACATATACGGTTGTATAATAATAGTATATTAAAAAAAAAGTTTGAAGTGAGACACGCTTGAAATGCACGAATTCAAGTCGAAAAACGAGTAACGAAGCCACCTGTTTTTTAATGAATGAGTGCTTTAAGTCTTATGAAATGTGTTTTTATGCTATTTTTTGTAATTCGCGTTTTTACCCTTTTTTTAACAAAAATAAAATAAATTTTGAGAATGTAGGGAAATAGGTATGTAGCAGTTGGTAACACCGTAACATTTGAAAATAGAAATTTGAATTGACAATTAGAAACTGTCAAAACACAAAATGTATTTACCTGAAAAAAATGGTTCATGTACACCTCCCAAAATAAGAGAAGTTGCTCAGAGTTCAATGTCCTCATCTTGTATTCGATGCTAAGAATGTGTTTAAACATCCATAGACAAAAATTGTCACATTGACAACTAGAAAAATTAATGACACAATGTCACCAACTTGAACTGGTTCCATAAAATGTTACTAAAATCTCATAACAGCACCCGTTTGAGTACTGTAATAGCTTTCATTACCGTTTCAAATTACAAAATAGTATATTATTATTCACTAAGGTTAAGTTTATGTCACGAGCGTAGCGAGTGGAATAATTAACCTGAGTGAATAATAGCTCATTACATATATATTATACTTATATATATATATTATACTTATAAATTTATTTTTTAAATAAATTTTTGAATAAAGTTTAAACGTCAAATTCAATGTTACCAACTTCACACCAATTTGTCAAAATTAAATGTCAATTTTATGAAACGTCGTTTTTTTTAGAAAATTTAATTAATTTATGCTTAAATCATACGAAAAAAGGAATTTGTTTAGGTTTTTTTCACGTTTCAAATAATTATTATTAGTCTGTCAAGTTGACTACCCGTGAATAATGATTATTATTCGCCGCTATTATTCACTCCGTGAAAACTCTTTGTTTTAGAAAACTCATTCATAAGGTGTATATTATAAGGTATACTCTGTTTTTAAACCAGGAGGAGTAAACGCGAAAGTCAGATTTACACTAGGAAAAATCACCAGAAAATATCACTAGATATTTTGGCGGTAAATTTAAATTAATAATTATTATTATTTATTTATTTACTTATTATTGTATTTATTTTCGTTTGTTATCGTCAACACTAAACATACAAATTAACATTGAAGTTATGAGTGTATTTATTTCAAAATATAATAAAGAAGGGTTTAAGAACACAAAATTTACAATAATGACACGAAACTGTCGAATTGTCAATAACCTAACCTTCAAATTCAAAATTGCCTGTGTGTGAACCTTCCTCGCATTCAACCAATCACGTGCAAGGTCAATCTGGTGACAAATTTAAAATACTCCTCCTGGTTTAAAAACAGAGTATAATTGCCAAAGAAAACTTCAAGGTATAATTAATGTTTGTAAACAAAACTAACCTTACCTAACATTCCTTCACGCTATAATTGACATTACAAAAGAAAACTTCACGCTATAATTGCCATTACTAATTGCCAAAGAATACTTCATGGTATAATTAATGTTTGTAAACAAAACTAACCTTACCTAACATTCAGCATCTGAAGACACAGGGCTAAACCCGAAACTTAAAAATATACGACTTAGCGCTGAATAACAATTAAAACTTTGTTATCGTCCACACTATACATACAAATTAACATTGAAGTTATGAGTGTATTTATTTCAAAATATAATAAAAAAGGGTTTAAGAACACAAAATATACAATAATGACACGAAACTGTCGAATTATCAATTACCTAACCTTCAAAATCAAAATTGCCTGTGTGTGAACCTTCCTCGCATTCAACCAATCACGTGCAAGGTCAATCTGGTGACAAATTTAAAATACTCCTCCTGGTTTAAAAACAGAGTATAGTCGTGGGTCGCCTTGTAGATTTAGACAAAAATTTTTTACTGGAATCATCATCATTTTTACTCCAGTATTTGTGATTACAGTTATGCCACGACTTACCAAAACAGCCTGTACATTAAAATCGATTCACTACAAAGATACATTAAAAGCATTACAAAAGCTGTATGAATTTATATATACAAGCTATTTTAATTCCTTAACACATAGTTGTTAACTTAAAAATCAAGAGTGTTAAAGTATTAGAACCAAGGACGGTAGAATCTATTCAGCTCTAGACTGCTGTATGTTTTTATTGAACTAAAAATAGAATTAACACTGGAACTAGAAACCTTTGGGTTTAGCCATATGTTTTTTAAGATAACTAAACCTGATTGTTTCTAGTTCTAGGTCTAGTGTTAGTTCTAACATTTGCTAACACATAGCAATCCTCTTATGACCCCTCGTCACTATGGCTTATCATGGACCACTGCGAGACATCGCCATTGTGTAGAGGGGTGATGGCCTGAAGTGACCATAAGTAGTGAATAATGGTGATGGCTTTGGAAGCGGTCGGACACCACAAATCAAAGGGCGCCATCATGCGCAGCTCACTGCGCAGTGGCATGTCCACAGAGTTGGCCATCATTGCTTAACCATTTCATGAGCCATAGTGAAGAGGGGCCATTAGATTCTACCATCCTTTGATTAGAAGCAATTAAAAATATTTTAAACATGCAAAAATAGATGGCTAAAGATGAAACAAACCAAAATAAAACCCAAATAAAATAATCACATCAAAGATGAGCTAAAAATGTTAAAACTTTTTAATAATATTTTATCAATATTGTTAAAAAAAAACAAATCAGCACACCAAGAAAATGATTCAGCCACATACCCAAGAAACGCATACCTAACTGTCCATGAATAATATTGCCCCAAGTCCAAATTTCGCAATTAATAAGATTAAATCCGTTCTTCACGATTGAATTACATCGTTCCTCCAAACCTTGTTCAGATAAATCCTTTTCGGACGTTCCTTGACTTAGAGACCACACAAATTCATCTTTGGAGGTTACCCTTGGTAAATGGATCTCCTCGACGTTTTCAGGAACTTCATTATTATCAGAACTGCCACTCATATGCCTTGATAAAGTGACCACTTTATCTCCGACGGTTTTAACACCTTCATAAACTAAAGAAGCCATATTACTAACATTTTCTTTAATTATTCGGGTAGGTTTTTCGGTACATTCAACTAAATATTCTTCTCCGGCTGAGGACATCCATGAAAATTGTCGTGTTAAAAATTCCCTTGCGGCTTCTGTGTTACGAAAAATTATATTCCTTTCACTTTTATCATTATTATCGTTATTTTCTGTAGAACCAGAGTTATTTATGCATTGTTTAGTGTCATTTGAACAGGTACTATCACTTTTACTGCTGGTGGAAGTTGTTTCAATATCGTAACTGGCTGGAATTGGGATTCCTGATGGACAACTTTCTGAATAAGAATTTGGGGAAGTGGGAGAAGTGAGTTGTGAGGAACATATACAATTTGGACAAGTTGAAATTAATATTTCTTCGCCAACACCTATCGTTTCATCATTGTGTTGCTTACTAACTATTGCAATAGCAAAATCACTTCCTGTTTTAGCACTATAAACATATCTTTCTTCAAAAAAGGTAACGCGTTTTGGGGTATCACTATTTATTCCAATTTGATGCATATTTCCAGACGCCCAAAGTTGTCCGTTATCCGTTATGTATAAATTTCCATATAAACCTACAGATAGTTTTTCTACTTTCATTTTAAATTTTGTTCCGATACTTCCATGAGGACAAGGTTTAGAATCTTCTATTAATAAGATTTCTTTTATAATTTCTAAATTATCTGTGTACTTTAAAACTTTTCCTGACAAATCAACGCCAAATAATTCACTGTTCGAACAATCTATATCTTTTAAGAGTACCCCATCAACTTTTACCACACTTAATTGTTCTTGCTCAAGTTCGTTGGTTTTTATAAACCCATGATAAAGATTATTGGCGGTTGTTAAAATATAAATATGATTACTTATGCTAGTTATTTTTTTAATTTTTTCTGGTATCTCATTTCGTAACTGTAGTTTGTTCGATAAATTCCATAAAAAAAATCTGGACATTTTCACAATACACACCTTTTTTTAAACTGTAAATAAATAAAGTATTAAAATTTTATATAAAAAAACCATTATTGAATTTTGTGAATCAACCTCCCAGAAACCAGCTGATTGTCATTTCTGAGGAAAAGGCGGTTTATTCAAAAATATTATTTTTAATTACATAAATTTAAAGTTAAGAATTTAAACCTCATTTATAATATTACTAAAAAATGGACACAAAAACATTTTTATTTAAATTTATTAATTTTTAAAGACGTTATAATTTTAAATTTGACCGCCGACAAATTGCACATAACCCAAAACAATTTTTTATTCAAAAATATTATTTTTAATTACAAAAATAGAAAGTTACAATTTAAAGCTCATTTATAATATTATTAAAAAATTGATACAAGTACGTATTTATTAAAATTTATTAATTTTAAAAAATTTTATTTTAAATTTGACAGTTGACAAATTGCACATAACCTAAAACCATTTTTTATCCAAAAATATTATTTGTAATTACAAAAATTTAAAGTTAGAATTTAAATCTCATTTATAATATTATTAAAAAATAGATACAAATACGTATTTATTAGAATTTATTTAATTTTAAAAATTATTTTAAATTTGACAGTTGACAAATTGCACATAACCTCAAACTATTTTGGCACAAAATTCAACATATCTTATAAATGTTTTTTGTACACGTGCTGATAAATGAACCTTTTAAAAATGGCAAAAACGATATCCTTTGTAACTGGAAACGCTAAAAAATTAGAAGAATTAAACGCAATCTTAGGCGAATCCTTTCCATACAAAATAATAAGTGCAAACGTTGATTTACCAGAACTCCAAGGTGAAATAGAAACAATTTCAATAAATAAGTGTAAAGAAGCTTATAAACACGTGAAAGGACCAGTAATTGTTGAAGATACATGTTTGTGCTTTAATGCTTTAAAAGGATTACCAGGTCCGTATATAAAATGGTTTTTGGGAAACTTAGGTCCCGATGGTTTATATAAATTATTAGCCGGGTATGAAGATAAAAGTGCTGAAGCAGTTTGTACATTTGCTTTTCACCCGGGGGGTGAAAATGATGAGGTAATGCTATTTCAAGGAAGAACCAAAGGGGAAATAGTTGACCCAAGGGGACCAAGAGATTTCGGATGGGATCCTTGTTTTCTACCTGTTGGGTACAATGTAACTTATGCCGAAATGCCAAAAAGCGAAAAAAATAAAATATCTCATAGATATAGAGCTTTAAAAGAATTACAAGATTATTTATTGAAAATAGTTTAAGTTAAAAGATGTAATGGGTGTTAAATAAATTTAATTTATGATTTATTTTAATATTATAAATGAAATGTTGACCTCTAATAATAATAATTTAAAACTATGAATGCCCCAGATTAGATATTTCTATCTTATTAACAATTAGGTTGCTCATATCATAATTGAGTTTCATTGTTTTCTCTGTTCTGATGTTTATTTCCTTTTCTTGTATTCTCTGATCACCCAATTCTATCCATTTAGTTCTTAAAATCTAGTTCTCAATTATTATAGTATTACAATTTTCTTCTACTTGCTTATTATTACAACAAAAGTTGTAATAATAATAATTGATTAAAATTTTCAGAACCAAGTTTCAGGTTCTAGTTTTAGGTCTAGTGTTAGTTTTAATTGTTATTCAGTGCTAAATTGTAGTATATTGACCACTAGAAGAACCCATCATTATTATTATGTCTATAATGTATTATGATAGTATTATGGTTGATTATAAGATTTTTGTATATTATACAAAAAAATCTAGAACAAAATTATTCTGACAACTATCAGATATGTTTTCTGGCTTACCTCAAACCTATTAATAAAAAAACCCGATATTTTTATAAGTAATTAGTTCAATTAAGATAAAAGCCAAACTATTACTCACAAAAAATGAGAAATATTTATTGATAACTGATAATAGAAGATAAGCTACACAGATATCCAGTGAACATTTTGTGTGAGAGTGTAAAACAGCAGGTGAAATAATGGATTCTTTGTGAAAAAAAAAATAAAAATCATGAGTAACGTAGGGGTGGTACGTAAAATTAATTTTTTTTATAAAGAAAGTATTAATTATTGTTTTTGTGTAATACAGGGTGATTTCATATGGATCAACCCGACCACCGATGGGGAATTTGATGTCCCATCGGGTGGAAAAGTGGTTGCGATCGAATCCAAAAGGATTCGCATCAAAACCGATTCGGGATCCGAGATTTATATAGGAAAAGAGCAAGTTTTTAAACCGATACATATCACATCAATCAAAGTCGTTGAGGATATGATCAATTTGGGAGATTTACAAGAATATTCAATTTTAAGAAATTTGTATCTTAGATATATGGATAATTTGATTTATGTAATTTTTAATTGTTGAATTACTTATTTAATCTTAATTTTTTTTTGTTTATAGACTTATACAGGTTCTATGTTAGTTGCTATTAATCCATACAAAATTTTACCGATTTATTCAAACGCTATTATTAAGGAATATAGGGATAAAAGAATCGGAGAGTTACCACCACATATATTTGCTATTGGTGATAACACTTACACGGATATGAGAGCTACGAATAAAAACCAATGTGTTGTAATTAGGTGAGTTATTTGAAATTTTATTTTCTTTTTGAAATCATCGATTCCTGTTGATAAAATATCATAAAAGCTAATTCATTTAATTCCTTTTGATTCACCTACGACGTCAATTTAATAAAAAACCATTTACTGATAGCAGCATTTATTAAATCCGGATCTTTATCAACTTTTTTTTTTGTGATGGTGCCATATCAATTTTAATCTTATACGTTGAATGCGATTCTTGGAATATTAATAAAAAAGATTAATGACGCTTCTAAAAACAAATTAGTACAAAAAAAATTTAATAACTTAAAATTTTAATATTAACATTTCATTTATGGTTATTTTTATTTATAAACTAAGTTAATTCTTTTTTCTGATTCATAATCTTTTTATTTATACTATGTATTTAAAATTTAACATTTTACGATTAATCCTAAAAAATTGTTTTAAACGTCGTAAACTCAATTACAATCCTAATCTAATCATTTTATTCCATTCTAATTGTAAGTGGAATTTATCTATTAAAAAAATACTTAGCGCACTAAAACATATTTACACGGTTTTTTAATTTATTTTTTATCATGTTTTTAAAGATTTGGGTTGTTTGTCTTTTATGATGGCTGAACTTGGAACTTCCTAGTTTTAGATCTAGTATTGGTTTTAGTTTTACCTGAATAGAAATATACACAGAATCTAGCGCTGAATAACAATAAAAGTTTAGTTCAATGAAAAAATATAACAATTTAACACTTAATTACAACTAAAATCAGAACTAACACTAGACCTAGACTATAGAATCATTCAGCTTTAACTATCTTAAGAGACGTACGGCTATATCCGAATGTTTCTAGTTCTTGGTCTAGTGTTAGTTCTCCTTTTATTTCAATGAAAAATATAAAACAATCTAACACTGAATTATAACTAAAACCAGAACTAGCATTAGAACTAACACTAGACCTAGAACTAGAATCATTTGGCTTTAGCCGTCTTAAGAGACGTACGGCTAAACCCAAATGTTTCTAGTTCTAGATCTAGTGTTAGTTCTACTTTTAATTCAATAACAATATACAAAAATTTAGCGCTGAATAACAATTATTTTTTTAAAATTTAATTAATTTAACTTAATTTTTGTTTTATTTTAAGTGGTGAAAGTGGCGCTGGAAAAACAGAAAGTACAAAATTAATTTTACAATATTTAGCGGCGATAAGTGGGAAACATTCGTGGATAGAACAACAAATTTTAGAAACGAATCCGATTTTAGAAGCATTTGGAAATGCGAAAACAGTCCGTAACGATAACTCTTCGAGATTTGGGAAATACATCGATATCAACTTTAATAAAAATGGTGCAATTGAAGGGGCAAGAATCGAACAATATCTTCTTGAGAAAAGTCGAATTGTTTCACAAAATCCGGGCGAAAGAAATTATCATATTTTTTATAGCATGTTGGCCGGTTTAAATAAGGATGAAAAGAAAACTTTGGAATTAGGAGATCCGAGTCAATACGTTTATTTAAATGCGGGGAAAACTTTAACTGCCGCCGGTAGAAATGAAGTTGAGGAATTCGGTGATATAAAAGCGGCTTTTAAAGTGTTAAACTTCACCGATAAAGATTCTTGGGATATTTTTCAACTTTTAGCGACCATTTTACATTTAGGAAATTTAAAATATAAATCAGTTATCGTAAGCAACATGGATGCTACTGAAATTTCAGATAATTCAGCGTTAAATAGGATTGCTTTATTTTTGGGCACAAACAAATTCGATTTATCAGAAGCTTTAACTCATAAATCAATCTTTGCTCACGGTGAAAGAGTCACAAAAACGTTATCTAAAGATCAAGCTCTCGAAGCTCGCGACGCTTTCGTTAAAGGAATTTACGGCAAAATGTTTATTTATTTAGTCGAAAAAATAAACGTTGCAATTTACCAACCAAAATTAGCCAAAAAAAGTTCGATCGGTGTTTTAGATATTTTCGGATTTGAAAATTTTGACATGAATAGCTTCGAACAATTGTGTATTAATTACGCCAACGAAAACTTACAACAATTTTTCGTCCAACACATTTTCAAATTAGAACAAGAATATTACACCAAAGAAGGGATTAATTGGAAACACATAGTTTTCGTGGATAACCAAGACATTTTAGACATAATCGGTATGAAACCGATGAACATGATGGCTTTAATCGATGAGGAATCAAAATTTCCGAAAGGAACCGACTTTACGATGCTCGCTAAATTAAATGCGACGCATTCGAACAAACCGAAATTATACATCAAATCAAAATCGGATTTAGAACCGAATTTTGGGATTCAACATTTCGCCGGGAAAGTTCAATATCACGTCCCGGGTTTCTTAGAAAAAAATCGCGACTCTTTTAATCAAGATTTAAAAGAAATCGTTCAGCAAAGTTCGAATGAATTTTTAAAAAAAGTTTTCGATTCCGATTTTAAAGAGGATTTAAAAACAAAGAAAACTTTATCGTCGCAATTTCGATTTTCTTTAGATGCTTTAATGAAAACGTTGAATTCTTGCAGCCCATTTTTTGTACGATGCATTAAACCCAACGAAAATAAACAATCACATGTAAGTTATTCATACTTTATAAATAGAAGTTGAGTGTTTTATTTATTTTGTTTTAGGAATTTGATCGTACGTTATGTTGTCGGCAATTAAGATATTCTGGTATGATGGAAACCGCAAAAATTCGACAAGCCGGTTATCCAATTCGTCATGATTACTTCGATTTCGTAAATAGATTCCGTTATCTCGCCGTAAACGTTTCCCCGGCTCATATTGGCGATCCTCGCGAATCAGCAAAAAAAATTTGCACAACAATATTCAAAGATAACCAAGATTACCAATTAGGAAAAACTAAAGTTTTTCTAAAACACCCCGATAACGAATACTTAGAACAAGAGCGCACAAAAATCCTCAGCAAATACATAATAACTTTACAAAGACACATTCGAGGATTCATTTGTCGAAGACGTTACCAAAACTTAAAAAAAGCAGCGTTGATCGTGCAAAAACATTGGCGTGCTCGAGGATATCGTTCGCGTTATTTGAAGATGAAGAATGGTTATCAACGTTTACAAGCGGTTATCGTACAGAGACAATTAAGGCATCAATTTCAATTTAAAAGGCAAATTATTACGCGGATTCAAACACATTCTAGGGGATATTTGGCACGGCAGAAAAAACCAATGGGTAAAATTTATGGAATCATCGTTCATAGACGAGTTGAAGAGGCGCAATTACGGAAAGCTGGGGAGAAAAATTATAAACACATCGCTGAAGTTAACATGCAAAAACGACTGGCGGAAGTCGATAGAAGTTATTTGGTGAAAGAAGAAGATTTACAAGAAAATTATGCTAAGGACAGTGAATTTGTTGCAAACGTTTTTAAATTTTTGGATGGTTCACCTACGGGAGATAAAAATTTGGTAAGAATTGAAGATAAATGGTTTACAGTTCATCTATAACATTAAAACATATGACGCATATAATAATTTATTTAATATTTTCAAAATTGAATTGCTGAATAATAAATTAAAAGATTTATATTAGAAAATATTTTTAAGTTAGAAATGGTTATTTTTATTGAATAGTAGATAGGTACTTAATTTAATTATCCAGCTTACAATTAGTTACCACTTGAAATTTTTTATTATCCTCCTTTAGAAATTACTTTGATTAGTTGTTTGTTGAAAAATGTTGCAGCTAGAAATTACACTTCATCCCTTCCTCTTTAAATCTGTCCATCTTATTACATCACGTTCTAACAGTATTCTTGACCAAGAATGCTTTGAGAATGCGTCATTCTACCATGATCTTGGGCACATTGATAATAACTTGTTTATAAGCCTGATTTGACATTAATTTTAATATCATCGTGCATATCTCTCGTGTTTGAAGTTGGAAGCAATTGTTGGTCAATTTTGTAGAACATTTCCAGTATTTTCTCATTTACTAATCATTGCCAACACTCCATAAATGTTTTGATGTTTGTCTTGAAGCTAACTAATACTTTTTATAACGAATAAGAGTATTTCAGCTACTGAATTTGGAATTTGCAGAGTTAATAGTTAATTAGAGGTGTCTGCTTTTGTTGAGTTTATGAAAACCTGCCCAATATGAGATGTTGCTTTGTCATTATGTACAAAGATATCTTTTTGAAAGGACCTGCTTTGGCAGATACAAGCTTTGCAAAATTGAGACCTTCCATATAATTGATTGATTATATCATTCCTTGTGCCCAGTTTATTATAACTGTTATCAATACCTTCTAATACAATGTCAAGTACACACCTCGAATCTCCTTATTGTGTCTACGTCCAGAACTTCTATACAAAATGTTGAACTAATAGCTGCTGAGGTTTCTGCAGTAATCTTCCATTTGATTCTAGTGTTTTGACTTAGCCTATGTTGCGGCTTAACATTGCATAATTAAAAAAAGAATTGTTGAAGTCTCAGAGTTGTCTCAGTTATGTTGAGGTCCATAGTCTAGCAAATTCTGAGAATCGTCTTGGATCATTACTTAAGACATGATTATCTATTATTGCTATTTTCTTTCTTCAATTTCATCATGTTCTGTCTTTTACAATCTTAAAAATCGTCTTGGATCATTAGTTAAGACTTTACTTTTTATTCCTTTCTGATGTTCCTCTTCTATTACATACTTGTATCTCAACAACCGTAAATGATTTTTTAGAACAGGTACTTTTAATGAAGAGCAAATACTTCACCACACAATTCCTAAAAGTTCTATATTAATGAATAAAGAGACTGATATTCCACATTGTTTATTATTTATCAAGACACTGAACATCTTATAAATTTTAACATTAAATACTTATATCTCAAGAACTAAAAGGGATTTTTCAAAACAGATACTTTTATCGAAAAATAGATACTTTGTTCAATATCTTCTGCAAATTTCATATTAATTCTCCTTGAAATCGATTTTCCACAATTTTTTATTGATATTAACTCCAAACCCATAAATTTGAAGTCAATATAACAACTGTATGTATATCTCAAACACTAAATGTTATTCCTTTTAGCCTTCAGAATACCTTTTAGTTTTGTTCCACCTCACATCACTAAAATACGTGATTAATAAAAACATTAAAAATTATTTTATTGAAACTTACTAATCATTAAATAATAACTTGAGTCACTTTTTATTATGTTCCGATTCATTGATAAATAAAATCATGGGAATGCACTATTAAATCTTTTATTTAAAAAAAAAGTTGTTGAAAACTATTCCAATTAATTTTACGATATAAAACAACATAAATCTATTTCGACAGAATCATTTCACCGTGAACTCTAGGACGGTAATAACACAAAAACGCTTAAATCTATGTTAACTTTATCAGATAATACGTAAAGTCTAAGGATTCTTTTGTTGAATTTCGATAAAAAATAGCCGTGTTATCTTATGCGTTAATCTACAGATTACATTTTTGCTTATTTAGTCATTTTCCGTTTAATTGGTGTACTAAAATTTTTTTTTTTTAATTTAGAAAGAGAAAAAAGAAATTTTCCCTCCAAAAGACGATGATGAACCAGAAGAAAAAGAAGATCTCTCCGCTTATAGTTTCAATAAATTTGCAGCTACCTATTTCAGAAAGAACGTTAATCACTTCTATTCTAAAAAACCGTTAAAAGAATCAATTTTGGAATTGCCTACACCCGATGATGTCTTAGCCGCTCAAGCACTTTGGATAACTATTTTACGTTTTACCGGTGATTTAACCGAACCCCGTGAGGCTATAGAAAAAGATTACGATTCGATAATGAATAAAGTTACGGAAACTTTAAGTAGAGGATTTACAAATCGCAAAGAATTCCAAGAAATTATGCGTCAAGAACAAGCTTACGCGCAAAAAAGTAAAGCGGAACGACAGAGATACATTAATTTAACATTAAAAAGAAAAAATCAATTATTAGAGGATGTCAAAAAAGGGTTGGTTGAAGATACATTTGCTAGTAATTATTATAACGATTGGGTTAATAATCGAAGAACAACGAACATGGAAAAAGTACATTTTATAATTGGACATGGTATTTTAAGACCTGATTTGAGAGATGAAATTTTCTGCCAAATTTGTAAATTATTAACGAATAACCCATCGAAACCATCATATGCTAGAGGATGGATTTTATTAGCGCTTTGTGTTGGTTGTTTCACACCAACAGAAAAATTAACAAATTATTTAAGAAGTTTCATTAACGATGGTCCACCTGGTTATGCACCATATTGCGAAGGAAGATTAAATAGATCTTTTAAGAATGGAGCAAGAACTCAACCACCAAGCTGGTTGGAATTACATTCAACTAAAAATAAAGATCCAATTATTTTAGAAATTACATTCATGGACAGAAAATCAATGACGGTTGAAGTTGATTCAGCAACAACGTCAGAAGAAATTTGTAAACAGATCGCGTCTAATTTAGGAATAAAAGATACGTTCGGATTTTCACTTTTCATAACGTTATACGATAAAGTAATGTCTTTGGGAAGTGAAAACGATCATATTATGGACGCAATTTCACAATGTGAACAATATGCTAGGGAACAAGGTAAACAAGAAAGAATTGCGCCATGGAAATTATTTTATCGCAAAGAAATATTTACACCATGGCACGATCCGCGTGTAGATCCAATCGCAACTGATTTAATTTACGAACAAGTTATTCGCGGCATGAAATTTGGCGAATACAGATGTCCGAATGAAGCTGACGTTGCAACATTGATAGCCCAACAATATTACATTGAAAATGGGGCGCAAATGAACCCGACAGTTTTACACACAAGAATTGGCGAATACACACCGACTTATATTGTACAAAAAGGTGATTTTAGCGAATGGGAAAAGAAAATTATTGATGCTTTCAATCGAAGTATTTGTGTAAAAGAAAAGAAACCACCAATTAAAGCTAAAGAAGATATCGTTAAATATTCAAAACATGTTTGGCCAATACTTTTCAGCAAATTTTACGAAGCTATTAAAATTTCAGGTCCAGATTTACCTAAAGATAATATGATAATTGCTGTAAATTGGACTGGGGTTTATTTAATCGATGATCAAGAACAAATTCTTTTAGAATTAACATTCGCTGATATAGCCTACGTTAATTACCAACAAAACACTAAATTCCAATTACATAACATAACTTTTAGCACGATTAGAAACGAGGAATACGTTTTTCAAAGTCCAGATGCTGAAAGTTTATATAACTTATTAATCTATTTACTCGATGGGTTGAAAAAACGATCAATTTATGTAGTCGCAACTCAAGATTACAAACACCCAGGTGATGCCGAATCATTCTTATCATACAAAAAAGGTGATTTAATTATTCTTAAAAATAATTTAACCGGAGAAAAATTATTATCGTCAACGTGGGGTTTCGGCGAATGCAATGGCAAAACTGGCGATTTCGTCACTGAACATATTTACATTTTACCAACGCTTCATAAACCACCATCTGACATATTACAAGCGTTCAAAAAAGACGGCGCATTTATCAAACGCCCAACACAACAAGAAAGTTCAACAATTCGAGGAATGAAACTTTACACATTATCAAATTACGCAAACGAGCACTTTAGAAGCAGCAGAAGACTGACGGTAAATAAAAATTCGATTATCAATCCGGTTAGAAGAACATCTAAAGAAGAACTTTGGAGATACACAAACCAACCTATTCATTTACCTCATTTACAAAAAGTTTTAGATAACGAAACCTTATCAAAACAAGCTGTAGAAGCTTTTAATGCAATCTTAAAATACATGGGTGATGCCCCTGCTCCGAAAACAAAAGTTTGTAATGAATTTACTGATATTATTTTCCAAGGGGCCTTCACACACGAATTATTACGCGATGAAATTTATTGTCAAATATTAAGACAATTAACGTTCAACAGATTAACTTCGAGCGAAGAAAAAGGTTGGGAATTGCTTTATTTAGCAACTGGTTTATTCGGTTGTAGTTCATCTTTAATGCCAGAAATGGTTAAATTCATTCAATCGAGACAACATCCATTTGCTGAAGCTTGTTTACAACGCTTACAAAGAACTGGCAAAATTGGCCAAAGAAAATATCCACCTTACACAGTTGAAGTTGATGCTATCCAACATAGAAGCTTACAAATTTACCATAAAGTGTATTTCCCTGACGATTCAGACGAAGCGTTTGAAGTTGATTCATTAACGAGAGCTTCCGATTTATGTAAAGCGATAGCTGATAGATTAGGACTAATTTCACACGATGGTTTTAGTTTATTCGTTATGATTTCTGATAAAGTATTTTCAATTCCCGAAGAATATTTCTTCTACGATTTCTTGCACGAATTGGTTAGCTGGGTTAAAGAAACGAAACCAACTTGGAATAGTGCAGCACCCATCCAAGCCCAATACCAAGTATTTTTCATGAAAAAATTATGGATGAATACAGTTCCAGGAAAAGATCCATCAGGCGATGAAATTTTCCATTACTACCAAGAACTTCCCAAGTACATTCGTGGTTATCATAAATGCACCAAACAAGATGCGGTTAAATTAGCCGCTTTAATAATAAGAGTGCGTTACATGGCAAATTTGACCGACGCGATGAACGCTATTTCAACCGATTTAAAAGAAATCGTTCCTATCGATTTGATAAAAGCACAAAGTTCGTCGGAATGGAAAAAACAAATTGGTAATGCTTATAGCACCGATGGTAAAATGACTGTCGAACAAGCTAAACTTAAATTTTTACAAACGATTTATCAATGGCCTACATTTGGATCAACGTTCTTTGAAGTTAAGCAATCTTCAGAACCAACTTATCCTGAAATTGTTAATATTGCTATTAACAAGAATGGATTAAATATTATTCATCCACAAACTAAGGTAATAAAATTTTTTATTAAATATAGCATAATAAGTAACTTTGATGTAATGGGTGTCCAGATAAGGGTACGATAAGTATTTGGTTTGGGGAAAAAAATCAATAAATAAAGTAACATGAAATTCTTGATATCTCGGAAAATGAGATGATGAGCTATATCTTTGACAAGATCATTTGATAGCTTGGATAATACTGCATCGTCTTATATGAATTAGTATATCATATGCTTCTGCATTAGTATATATGTATAAGAGTTTTATTGTCTATAATCTACCATATCCTACAATACATGTACATTACCAAGCCCTCCTCGTCCCAATCACCTCCGTCATCCATCTTTTACCCATACCCCCTTCTCCCAAAATTTGCTTCCTGCCTCATCGCCTTCTCCCTCAGCTCACTACACACTTTCAGCATGTGTTTCAGCGTCTCCCAATCCTTTCCACAAAACCTACACCACCTCTCCACATCATCCACAGCGGAATCTGACCACCAATCTCTTCCCTTCATTATCTCCCTCCATCAACAGATACTTTGGGAGTTACTCTGTCACTATCTCCTCATACCTTCCATTATATTTCCCTTCCAATATCTCTCAACTCTTTTCCTGCTTCTGTATGTCCCTGTTCCTATCCCTCAGTTCTCTCCACTCTTCTGTTGTCGATCCCAGTTAGTGAATATCCTACTCTCCTATAATATCCTTCCTTATCTTTCTGCCCATATATCAGCATCTTCTCCTTAATTTCCCTCCAACACTCTCCCAGGATCCCGCAATGCGGTCTTCCTTCGATCCTTTCCTCGTACTTCACTGCTCTTCTCCCTCTGCCTCTATCCTTACTGCATCCACCTTAACCTCCTCCCTTACTACATACCCTGGAGTCTCCCTCACCAACTCTAGTACCCATCTCCAATACTTTGTTTGTACATCCTTCAGCAATCTTTGGTCTTTCCATCCCCATACTTCTGCGCTGTACATCATTGTGCTCCTCATCAAGCCTTCAAACATAATCTTTTTTTCCCACATCCGTCCCAAAAGTAAAGTCTCCCCCATCCCCAAACCTGTCCCATCACCTTGTTCACTCTTTTTGCCATCGCCCTCACGTGCGACCCACATTAGTAAATGATATGTTAAATGACATTAGCAGTCGAATTGAATCGTTGGCTATTTCTCTTGCTCTCTTTGCTGATAAAGATTTTTTTCCAAACCATTGTTGAGATATAGCCGCTTCGTACCCTTATCAATACACCCTGTATATAAAAGCCATAACTAACTTTATTTCATCAATTTTTTTAGGACATTTTGGTAACTCACGATTTTAGCGAACTAAATAATTGGTCATCAGGAAACACTTATTTCCATCTCACCGTTGGAAACGTAATGAGACAGAGAAAATTCCTTTGCGAAACTTCGCAAGGATATAAAATGGATGATTTGATAACTTCGTACGCTGATTTTATAAGTAACAGCTCTAAGAAGCCAGAGAAATCATTTATATTTTAATTTTATCATTTATTTTTTTGATTTTAAAGTATTTTATTAAAATCTTTATTGTTTGGGTGTTATTTAATTTTAGTAGGAAAAGAAAAATCATTACAAACAGACGTAAAGGTAAAAATAAAGTTTGTTTGGGGTTATTTTAATTTTAAATAACATTCTATTTTTGTAATCATAATATTTATCGGTAATTCATAAGAAAATAAAATATTCAAAAATAAAAATCTTTTATTAAAACAATAATATACTCATATTTTTGATGCAATATGATTATAAACAATTCCATCACGTTGTAATTTCAGAACCTCATCACTACTAAAATTCAATGATTTCAAAATTTCTTGAGTATGCTCTCCTAAATTTGCAGGCGGATTTACGCAAGTAGAAACACCTGGGGTCCTACTTAATTTAGGCGCAGGATTTGGAACCATCCTATTCATTTCTTTACACATAACAAAAGATTTTTGTTCTTTATTATGTTGATGAACTGGGGCTTCATCAATAGTTAAGATAGGAAAAACACACGCATCCATACTATCAAAAATATCACACCATTCCTTTTGGGTTTTGCTTTTAAATTTTTCGGTAAATAACTTTCTTAATTCTGGGATATTCCCAAATTGAGGAGCCTCGTCGTCGGATAATCCCAATCCTTTAATTAATTCAGCATAAAATTGTGGCTCCAAAGCACCAACAGACATGTATTTTCCGTCTTTGGTTAAATAATTTTCATAGAAATGAACACCGCCGTCCAAAACATTTTCACCTCGGGGATTCCCCCAAATTGGGAGATTTTGAGACCTGTACAAAAAGCTTCCTAAATAAGCCGTTCCTTCAACCATATTCGCATCAACAACTTGTCCAAGTCCCGATTTTGATCGCTCAACTAACGCCAAAAGAATTCCAACTGCGCACATTAATCCACCACCGCCAAAATCAGCGGCTAAATTTACCGGAAACATCGGATTTTCACCTTTTCGTCCAAACATTGATAAAAGCCCGGATATTGCAACGTAATTTATATCGTGACCAGCTCTTTTATGGTAATAACCTTTTTGCCCAAATCCGGTTAATCTTGCATAAACTAATTTGGGATTTCCTTTTAAAAGAACTTCAGGGCCTAAACCAAGAGATTCCATGACACCAGCTCTAAATGGTTCTAAAACTACATCAGCTTTTAAACAAAGCTTTTTGGCTATTTCTCGTCCTGTGTCATTTTTTAAATTTAAAGCTATCGATTTTTTTCCGTGGCCAAGAGATGTATCTAATGTTCCACCAATCTAAATAAAATAATTAAATGATAGAAAATTATTTTTAGGTTATATATCATTTTTCGTTTGTTTATAGTTTCATCACCATGGTAACTAATTTGACGTTTATGTGATTTTATTTTCTAGCAGATTTAAGGTAATGTGATTCTAACCTCAATTTTTTATAGTAAATCACTTACTTTATCAATTCTGATGACTGTTGCTCCAAAATCAGAGAGTAACATCCCACAAAATGGGGCTGGAGCTAAACCAGCAAATTCGATTACTTTTAAACCGTTCAAAGCCATCCTAGAAAATGCCATGATAATAATTTAGAAATGAAGTGTTTGATAATGTTTCAGTTAATAACAGAATAAATGGACTCTTGAACTGTATAAATGTTTATCAACATGATGCAGCAACTTTTTTGAGATAAAAAATCAAAATATCAATTTATTTTGAAATAAAACCATGAAAAAAAATGATAATTTAAGGTTTAATATTGAGAAAGAATTTAATGATATAAAATAAATGATGTATGTATAAAGTAGAGATTTAGATATAGAGTAATAAGAATTTTATTAATTTAGATATGCAACTCATATCACATATTGTACTTCTCACTTTATTTCATTCATGAATCATAATTATATCATTGCAACTGGAAGTTTTAATCTAAATCAACTCAAACAGTTAAAAAGATATGTTTATATCTATAAATACATTTAACAAGGCTATATGTGACTATATTCAGATTAGATTTGACATTTCAATAAATATTTTGTTTTGTAGACCTTTAAAAAAAATTTCATGGCTACCATAAAAGTCCCCGAACAAAAAGTGATATTATGCGGTGAATATGGTGTTGGGAAAAGTTCGATTTTTCGTCGATTTACGAACAATACTTTTGTGACAGCAACGGATCGACAATCTACTCTTGGTTTGGACCATTTCGATAAAGTCTATAAAGTCACTGAAAGAGATATTAGGGTGAAATTGATCATTTTAGTATCATTTTTTTTATTTATAAATGTGCTATTTTTAGTTGCAATTATGGGATACCGGCGGAATGGAAAGAGTAGCCTCAGTTACATCAAGTTATTATAAATTTGCAGAGGCTGCTATTCTTGTATTCGCCCTTGACAATCCCACTTCTTTTCATATTTTATCCCAACATTTATTGGATATTGTTACTTATGCAGAAAATGCAAAAATTTTTCTGTGTGGAAACAAATTGGATTTGGTCAATCAAGTACCACAAGTTTCAGATGCTGATATTGATGCATTTTGGTAAAAAAATAATCATAACATTAAAATCAATACAAAAAATATCATTTTAGTGAGCAATGTCATAACTTAATAAGTAAAACATACAAAACATCTTGCAAGACTGGCGAGGGAATTGAAGAAATGTTATCGGATATAGCAACTCAATTAGTCCAAACAAATCGTTCCAAATTGGAACTCCAATCAATGGAAGCTCATGGTTTTAAGGTTTCAAACACAGAGGAACCCAGCGAAGATTCATGTTTATGTTGATTTTATGTTTTTATTAATACTCATTTCGCACAATTATTATTAATCATTGGCATTTACTTTTAATTATAATCACATATACATTTATTATTGTTTGCTAAAAATGAAAAACGTCCAATTACTGTGATTGTGTTAAAAATGAAAAGTATCTTGTTTTAAATTTGAACTAGTCTTAAGAAATAGAAGCTATAACTACTTCATACTGTGCCAAAAAAAAAATAAAAATAAAAAGGCTTTCTATTTTATTTGCTTGGAAAGGGATAATTACTGATGGGACGTCAAAAAATAATTTTTTTTAATCTTTATTCTTACTACATTCATAACAATACCAAAAAAATAATATAATGTTTTTTGTATCTCTAAGATTTAAGATCCTATGTATAGATTTAAATCTTAATAATAATAATATAAAATAATTGACACAAGTCTTCCTATTTAATGTTGTGACCATTGAATAGTTTTTAAATCAACTCCCTCTTGGATTATTTCCCATTCTTGTTACATGCTGGGTACATTTATTAACAACCTTGGCTTAATCAGTCAAAAGATCTACAACATTACCTGATAAAGCATCAAAATAATTTTTTTTAGTTCTTCCATAACCATAGTGGTGCTTTGCATCAATTGGAACCATTGTGATTCAGACCAATATACTTTTCCCATAATTTCATGCTTTTGAAAGTATTGGAAAACATCTCTATTACTGCTATTAAGATGCCTTGCTGTTATTGAGTAATGTAAAGGTATTTCTAATTGATTAGTATTAACAACAGATTAGTACTTCACCATTCACAGGGATAAATATCTTTTTTAGGTGTTGAACACTACAGATAATAATCAAGTTATACTGTAAAGGTACTTTTTTCATATTTCATTCATCATCTGATCATTAATACGTTCAATGAACAATTTTATTCCAATCTAATTTACTACGAGTGTCTTAAAACTAGGGGTCTTACTCAGTAGAAGATCCTTAGCTCCAGCACTAAACGTGCATAATATCGCACTCAAGCAACTAGCTCAAAAGATTTCGTTCTCTTGAGTCTTCTCGTCTGGTTGGTATTGTTGAGGAGCTGGATGGCCTCAATATTCACGTGGTCTAAGAGCCGCTGTTCATGGCTCTTGGCAAATTTGTTGATCGTCTGGCTGACAGTGTTCATCCCCAGGTCCCAGTGGATATCACTACTTCGAAAGGACCAGGGTGCATCACCTTCTTCCTTAACACTTTATTCTGGATATCTGAATATCCAGAATAAAGTGTTAAGGAACGGTATATCTGGATGATTTGAACGTTTTTTTCGCTGGCACATCCACATTGATCAATCTCATATGTCCATATCGGTATCAGGATCTGTTAATACATAAGTAATTTATTATACATATGTTGACAGAGTGGATTTCCTCCCCAAAAAACAGCCAATACATTTTCTTATATCTGATTCCGAGCTCTTCCCGTTTGTTTTTGATTCAGCGAAGTTTTACATCCAAGGTTAATCCCAGATATTTTGCTGTGTTCTCATATAGTATCTGTTTATCATCTACTCTGATTGGTCTACCGATTTATTCTTATCTAAGTTAATTCTTCATTTTTTGGTCTGTACTCTATTTGCTGCTTCTTCATGATTATTACCTATGGCCAGGATCATCATCAGCAAAAGCAGCAATAGTATCGTTTTCTAATTTAGGGATGACACTAGTGTACAAGAGGTACAGGACTGGTCCAAGTACACTTCCTTGTGGCACGCCTGCATTAATTTCTTTTAAATAAGCATCTTCTTGTTTCATTCTAAATGCTCGTTCTGATATAGGTATACGAGTCTAGCAGTTGTGCATACTGTTTGGGCAAGAGTTGGTTCAGTTTGTATTTGAGTCCCTCATGCCAAACTTTTTCAAATGCCTGAGCCACATCCAAGAAGACAGAAGAACAGACTTTACTTCCCTCTATCGATTTATCTATGACGTCAGTAATCCTATGTATCTGGTCTATGGTGGAGTGTCCCTCTCTGAATCCACACTGATGTGATGGTATCAAATTTCTTTCCTCTAGTATAAGACTTAGTCTTTTTAATAGTATCTTCTTAAATAATTTTGATTATTATGACCTCAGCAACTTTCCACAGGGTAGGCACATATTTGAATCTGAAGGTTGCATACATGTCAGTTTGACTATAGCTTTCTTTGGTAGATGTTTTAAAATTTCACCTGTAATTAGGTCAAAACCAGGAGCTTTCTTCGGGTCGATATTTTCCTCCCTTGGAGTAGTGAAGGTTATTTCCACAGCATCCTGATTTTGTATTATCAGTTCTAATTGCTCTTCTCCTGCGTTAGTTTTAAATGTGTTCGCTAAGTGTTCTGCAAATCTATTTGCTTTTTGCTCATTATTTCTAGCCCAGCTTCCATATTTATTTCTAATTGGTGGATTTTGGGTGATTGGTATCTTTCCATAGTGAGCATTATTCTTCATAACCCTTTTCAGCTATTGGGTGGCTAGTTTAGTTTTATTTTCTGGAGCTCTAGTTTGGTGTCATTTGCGATACTCTTGAATTAGATCTCTTATTTCCTTAGGGTAGTTAATGCCCTTTCTTCTTGCGTTTAATTTAGGGGTATTGTCCTATGCTGCCTGTTAGATACAGTTAACCAGTTAACTCGATATCCTTATCACCTGTTCTTTGGATTTAAGTCTAACTGCGAGGTTAATTTTGTCTTCTAGGATGATTTGGAAACGATACATGTTTTTCAGTTTTTTCTAGTTTTCCTCTCTTCGCTTGTAATTCATCATCACCTTCATCACTAATAGAACTGTCGCTGTTATCACTTTCAGTTTGTGATACAAGTCCTTCCAATAAAAGCCATCTTCCTGCTTTGTTCGTTAAAACTATATCAAAAAAGTTCGTTTTGTATCTTGGATCCACATAAATTGCTAAATATTATTTGTGATTTGAGCACATCCTTTTATCAGCTCTTCCTAATTTCATTTTACTTCAAATATTGCAGTAATGTTATAATTGTCGTTCCATCTCTAATTAGTATCATTTTGACAAACACCAACAAGCTTTTTCAGATTCTTTGAAACACTATCAAAAACGTCAAAATCAATTAACTTAATTCTTCTATAACCGCTAAGTATCTTAGCGTTGTTTTTAATCAATTTGAACCATTTTGATTCAGACCAATCAAGTTTTCCTATAATTTCATGTTTTGGAAAGTTCTGGAAAACATCTCTTTTAATGCTATTAACATGTCTTCCTTGCTGTTATTGAGTAACGTAAAAGCATTTTTAAATGATTAGTACCATTTCGAAACACTACCAAAAGGAACATCTCTCTTAATGCTGTTAAGAGATATTAGGGTGAAATTCATCATTTCAATGAGTTACTATAAATTTGCGGAGGCTGCTTTTCTTGTCTTCGCCCTTGACAATCCCACTTTGTTTCATATTTTAATTGATAATTTCTGATAATTACTGATGGGACGAATTTTTGATGGGATAATTTTTTGAAATCTTTATTTTCACTACATTCATAACAATACCAAAAAATAATATAATGTTTTTTGTATCTCTAAGATTTAATATCCTATGTATAGATTAAAATCTTAATAATAATAATATAAAATAATCGAGATAAGTCTTCCTATTTAATGTTGTGACCATTGGATAGTTTTTAAATCAACTCCCTCTTGGACCATTTCCCATAATGGACTCATTTCCCTCAATCTTGTTACATGTTGGATACATTTATTAGCTGTATAATCGATTTCTTCAATTGTAGTAAAACGACCGATTCCAAACCTAATAGAACTATGTGCTAAATCTTCGTCAGCTCCGATAGCTCTCAATACATAAGAAGGTTCTAAAGAAGCTGAGGTACAAGCGGATCCACTCGATAAAGCGACATCTTTTAAAGCCATTAAAAGAGACTCTCCTTCAACGTAAGCGAAAGATAAATTTATACAACCGTGATAGGTATAATTAGGATCACCGTTTCGTATAACATGGCTTAATTTTCCATAAATTTGATCTAATAATCTTTGACTTAATTTTCCGATCCATCGATGATCATATTCCATTTCTCTTTGTGATATTGCACAAGCTTCTCCAATTCCAACAGCTAAAGGAGCTGGTACAGTTCCACTTCGAAGTCCTCTTTCTTGTCCACCTCCACTTTGAAGAGCTTCTAATCGTACTCTAGGTCTACGACGAACATACAAAGCTCCTACACCTTTTGGACCATAAATTTTATGTCCACTAATCGACATTAAATCAATATTCATTTCGTTTACGTTTAAAGGTACTTTTCCTACAGCTTGAGCTGCATCGGTATGGAAAAAAATTTTTCGTTCTCTACACATTTTTCCTATATCACTTATAGGTTGTTTAACTCCAATTTCATTGTTAACTGCCATTACAGAAACTAATGAGGTATCTGGAGTCATTGCTTCTTCTAAATCGGAAAGTGAGATTATCCCATTTTGTGCTACTGGAAGGTAGGTTATTTTAAAACCTTCCGATTCTAACGCTCTACATGAATCTAAGACGCATTTATGTTCAGTTTGGGTTGTAATAACATGTTTCTTTTTAACACCGTAAAAACGAGCGACACCTTTTAACGCAATGTTATTACTTTCAGTTGCTCCGGATGTGAAAATTATTTCTTTGGGATCAGCCCCGATTATGTTAGCAACTTGTTCTCTGGCTTTTTCAACAGCTTCTTCAGTTTCCCAACCGTAAGCGTGAGTTCTTGAGTGTGGATTACCATAATATGCGGTCATATAAGGGAGCATAACATCTAAAACTCTAGGATCCTAAAATATCATCATTAATAAATTTTTAAAAATCAATCGATTAATTTACCATAGGAGTTGTAGCTTGGACATCTAAATACAAAGGTCGTCCCACAAAATCTTTCTTTTGCGATTTGAATTTCGATTCTAATAAATTTTGAAAAAAAATTAGAAACCTAACCTTAAATAAAGATATTTTTACTCACCAGTCGTTTGATATCGAACGACAGTCATTGTCGGAGTACATTTTTGATTAATTAAAACGTTTTTAAGATGGTGATTATTAATTTTTATTAAATTTCTATACATTTTGCCGATTATTTTGAGAATATTTTAAAACGTACCATAACAATCTGACAATGATCACAAAATGTCAAATTGTGGTAAATTAGAAAACTGTAATACTTAACGATGTAAAGTGTGTTGCCTATATAAATATATTTAAATTAATAAAATGTGTTATGTTTATACATATACAAAGACGGTAGAATCCAAGGTCCGTTGAGTAAACATACTATATAAGGTTATCCAACTCCATATGAACGTATCCCCCCGCAAAGGCCTTGCGGTGACGTCATTAGAAGAATTAACATTTTTATGTTTTTATTTATACAGTGTATTTCACTTAAGAAGAAATATACAAAAATATAAAAGAAAATAAAATTAAAAATATTAAAATATAAAGCCCAATATTAACAGTTATAATTTTATTATTGTTAGGTTATCCAACTTGACTCGGTTACCATGGTGATTAAGATCCAAATATTGCAGGTGCTTGTCAAAATTGAAATTGATTTTAAGTTTTTTTAAGAGAACATTCTTATTTAATTGGTTTAAAAGGCTGTATTTAACTCAAAATTGGTTTATCTAGGGTATTATAAACAAGGTAAGTGGATTAATTCAAAAAGAGATATTTTTAATTTATTTCTCTTAATTAGAATCGATTTAAATTAACTACAATTAACGAATTTGTTATGAATGCGAGATAATCGTAAAGAATTCGAATTGTTTTAAAATTAATAAAAATTAGGTTAGAAGTGATAAAAAAATCGGAATAAAATTTTATTATTTTAAGGTTATCCAACTTGATTCGGTTACCATGGTGATTAAGATCCAAATATTGCAGTTGCTTGTCAAAATTGACGTTGAATTTAAGTTTTTTTAGAAAAAAACACATAATTAATTGGATTTAAAGGTTGTATTAAATTCAAAATGAGTAAATGGATGAAATTAATGAACTAGAAACATTCGGGTTGGGTTGGGTTGTCAATGTCAACTTTAATTTTATTATTATATTCGTAATCTTCATAAAATAACCTTTAAAGTGAGTCCAAACTTGACGCATTTATCTCAAATAACCAAAAAGTTCGAACTTTCAACTTTTAATTTTGACATATTTGTCAACTTCATNGGTAAGTGGATTAAATCAAAAAGAGATATTTTTAATTTATTTCTCTTAATTAGAATCGATTTAAATTAACTACAATTAACGAATCTGTTATGAATGCGAGCTAATCGTAAAGAAATCGAATTGTTTAAAAATTAATAAGAATTAGGTTAGAATTGATAAAAAAAATCGGAATAAAATTTTATTATTTTAAGGTTATCCAACTTGTCTCGGTTACCATGGTGATTAAGATCCAAATACATATTGCAGTTGCTTGTCAAAATTGACGTTGAATTTAAGTTTTTTTAGAGAAAACCACATAATTAATTGGATTTAAAGGTTGTATGGTAAATTCAAAATGGGTAAATGGATGAAGTTAATGAACTAGAAGCATTCGGGTTGGGTTGGGTTGTCAATGTCAACTTTAATTTTATTATTATATTTGTAATCTTCATAAAATAACCTTTAAAGTGAGTCCAAACTTGACGCATTTATCTCAAATAACCAAAAAGTTCGAACTTTCAACTTTTAATTTTGACATATTTGTCAACTTTATAAAAAATCCTTTAAAATGAGTCCAAACTCGACATATTTAACTTTAATATTAATGGAAATACAATCACTTACGGTTTGAAACGTCAACATCACTTTTGACATATGTATTTGTCATCTTCATTAAAAAACCTTTAAAATGAGTCCAAATATGACGCACTTATCTCAAAAAATGTTAGAAAAAAAAACGTTAAACCCGAAGTTAGCAACAATGAAGATAGCAATTTAATTTTTAAATATTAATACCAACCTTAATTTTGATTTTTTTTTTATTATATTTTTGTTTTGTGAATATTAGGAAGATATGAGGTAATTTAAAAAATAACATTTAAAATATGCATATAAAATTTTATTGAAACTTAATAAAACCAAATCGATAACAAAACCTTAATATCCGATAGACAATTCGAACATTCATACAGCAATTACATTTTTGTTGTATTCCCCATGTATTTCTTGTTTATTTATAAACATACACGAAAGTATTGCTTTAAAACCCTATCATCTATGATATGTTATTATTAACATTACACCTACATTTATTTTACCTTTATTTCATTTCATTTATTTACAAACGTTTCGTTTTTTTTCTACGTTACATTATGTGTTCGAGACATTTAGAAATTGGTAAGAAATTGGTCCTATTTTCCCATTTCTTATTAGATATTTTTTACGCTTTAACTTCAGAATTTATTCGTCTGAAGTGTATAACTGAGAGGCAAAGAATTAGAAAGTAAACAAAAATATCTTATTGTTAAGTAACTTTCTTTTATAACTTTTACAATTTTATATTTTCTTTGCGGATTGATGCGTTTTAGATCTCTTAATTCGTTATAACATTTAATAGTGTGCGTTTGAGATCTAAAAATCATCCATTTTTTAATCCATTTTTAATCCAATTTTAATTCATTTTTAGTGCTTATTAATTATTACGATTACAAAACTTATTTACATTAAAAATAACTTTTTTTCGGGTTTATTTACAGGAAATATACAAATTTATGCATTTCTTTAATTTTAAATACTGTAATAGTTTTACATTAATTCCGTATTGTTTTCATGCATAGCAGTTTTTTATTCATACTATTATTATTTTACACTTGCGGATTTAGCTATCTTTTTATTATAACATTTCCTATTTCAAACATTTATTTTTTTTAAGAGCGTATAATCCCCTACGTGCTGATTATTAAAATTGGTATAAAATTAAGTAAATAGTTTCATTTTTTTTTTTCTACCTTTTCTCCCTTATTGTAAAATATTAATATTTTAACTATCTTCAACGATTTCATAATTTTAATACAAGCTTCTTTCATCTTAATAACTTCGTGGAATTGAATTCAGTAGATTTAGGAATTTTAAATGTGCGTTTGTTTAAAAAAAGTTTATATTTTTACGAGATAAAAAATAAAATGTATTGTCACACGCAATTTTTTATTAATTAAATTAAATTCTTTAACTTTTTTATCTTAAATTTACATATACAAATTACAGCACCATCGATACTTTCATCGACACATCAAAATAAACTATATCATTACTCGTAACGTAGTTATACAACAGTCTGAGTATTATTTTGTCTCCAATTTTATTGAACATTAATCAAACTTGATCCTGAGATGTGCAATTGTTGACTTTCGGTCTGGGCATCATAACATCCTCGTATGGTGGTACTTTCGCCTTCCTAAATTCATCTCTAACGCGTTCCACCTCTTCCAATACTCTTAGAAAATTCAAACCTGCGAGTTTTTTTAGTTCATCAACACTCCACTTTCCTGTTCCTATTAATTCGGCAAAAAGAGTTGGATATGCCGCAACGTCTTCTAAACCTTGCGGAACACTAAAATTCGAAATCAAATCATTAGTTACTAATTAAATAATTAATTAAAATTAAGCGAAATAAATTATTCAAGTTAGAAGACATCCATAACTCAACATTTGTAACTTGAAAGTTTCCTTGTTTTAGGGATTCAGGGACACACATTTATTAAGAACATTCAAACTTAGGATAAATCAGCAAAGGGGGACCTCTTAAATCAAAACTGAAACAAACGACCTCGTTTCGTAATTTCTAATTAATGATTAACGTGTTTGTCCCGGTCTCATTGTATCTTCAAATTAATACTCACAAGTTTATTCCATCGTATCCAGCCCCGAGACCAACATTATCCACCCCCGCCACTTCCCTGATGTGATTTATGTGTGCTAGAAGGAACAAAAAAAGTATTAATTATCCTATTTATTTAAAACGAAGGGTAAAAATGCGCGCATTTAAAATTACGAAACGGGATGAGAAATGGCGTAAATGGATTTGAAACTTCCGAAGGGAGTTAAGTGTGGTAATGGATAACTTTCGCACCCCACACCGGATACACACCCGTAAACTAATGCACTCCACTAGCGGTTCTCTATGCCGCGTAACGAGCGAAAATCAAGGGATGTAATTTAGTCGCTCCATTGGGGCGTACAGTGCATGAAAAGCAGGTATAGTACACGACTAGTTCTCAATTTAAACTGACAACTATGACTTTAACAATAGGATGTCTACCTAATAGTAAGTACAATAAATTTAACCCCCATTAAGATCGATTTCTATACATTATCATAAAACATGATTAGCCAAATCATTTTGGAATATAGTAAAATTATTTAGTGTATGTCGAAGCAACAAAAAAAAAGTTAGTAGTTGTTCTTTTGATGACTGGAAGTCAGAGCTGGAAGAATGTGCGACGAGAAGATAGAGTTTGGGAACATTTTCTCGATATCCATGTATCTGATAGCAAAAGTGCAAGAGAGCAATATTGTTGAGAATAAAATTTGCTACAGCTTTTGTTCTAAAAGTTTTTTTGTAATATGTTCCGTTTCCAAAATGTTACCATTAACTTGTAAAATAACGAAATTCTTCAAGTTTTCATATTTTTGTATTTTTCTCGATATCTATGTATCTGAGAGCAAAAGTGTAAGAGAGCAATACTATTAAGAATTAAATTTGCAACATCTTTTGTTCTAAAAATTTTTTTGTAATATTATCCGTTTCCAAAGTGTTACCATTAACTTGTAAAATAACGAAATTCATCAAATTTTCACATTTTCGTACTTTTCTCGATATATATGTATCTAAGAGCAAAAGTGCAAGAAAGCAATATTGTTAAGAATAAAATTTGCTACAGCTTTTGTTCTAAAAGTTTTTTTATAATATGTTCCGTTTCCAAAGTGTCACCATTAACTTGCAAAATAACGAAATTCATTAAATTTTCACATTTTCGTATTTTTCTCGATATCTATGTATCTGAGAGCAAAAGTGTAAGAGAGCAATATTATTAAGAATCAAATTTGCTACAGCTTTTGTTCTAAAAGTTTTTTTGTAATATGTTCCGTTTCGAAAGTGTTACCATTAACTTGTAAAATAACGAAATTCATCAAATTTTCATATTTTTGTATTTTTCTCGCTTTCTACCTATCTGAGAGTAAAAGTGCAAGAGAGCAATATTGTTAACAATAAAATTTGCAATAGCTTTTGTTATTCTGTATGCAATAATTTAAGTTCGAGCAAATCCCCAGATGCATTTTTTATACAGTTCTCCTTTTTACTTTTCTCTTTCTGCTACCTGTGTTATTCCCTCCCAAAAAATGACACTTAATAATAAATATTCAAATTTTTTGAACTTACCAACGGCATCTGCAACAGTGGCAACATCTTTACAGGTCAAGAAATGCGAGTAAAAGTTGACCATAACCACGCCTCTGTTCAGGGCGAGCTTTCTAAGCGTTTCGTCCGGAACATTTCTGGTCGAGTTGCAAAGGGCATGAGCTGAGGAATGGCTGAATATAACTGGGGCTTTCGAAACGTCCAAAGCGTCCCGCATCGTACCAACTGACACGTGGGACAAGTCCACTATCATTCCCAGACGGTTCATTTCTTTCACGACACTCTGCAAAATCAATCGAAAACAGACGTGACGTTTATTACATTCCACAAAATTTTTCTAATAAAAAAGAATATTTTAATTTAAAATGAAAATAAAAAGATTCAAAAATTTATAAGAGGAATTCGTCGATAACGTTTTATAAATAGAACGGTCCGACAGTTTAATACATAAATGAATAACAAAGCTGCGTATCGATTTAGTTCGGGAGATGACTCGTAGCCGTTGAAAATTGGTTTGAATAAGGAATTGGGTGATAGCTTCTTAGTCGACTGACGTCTGATTTGCAAAATTGGAATACAAGTCTGGTGTCCAGTTGTAAATTGTTGGAAATACTGGAAATGGAATTAGTTGCACGGTTGGTGGTTAGTGGATTGTGAGCCGCTACTGTTTGGCGTTGATAATAAATCACTCGGAAACCTTTGCTGTTATTAATCTTGATTACAACCCGTCGCCTCGCCGTGACAACGTTCATTTGCACCCGTCATCATCGATGATGACCTTCTGACGCGGACCACTGATGGATTACGAATACTATTTTCACAATGTAATTTCTTTTGACCCATATTTCACATTATTGTTTTTGCAACAACCTTATTGATAAAACTTTTCCTCTATAAAAATCGAGATTTTTTTGTTAAGAACTGTAAGTAATAAAAATTGATTTCTTTTCGTGTCCGCTGTCGCCGGTATTAATTTAATATCCGGAAAAAGGCGAAATAAGGGGAACGAAACGACGTGACAGTCATGACAATGCGGCAAAAGAACGACAGAAATACCCCCTTCACTAACCAGAACAGCAGCCGCACAGTTTAGTCCGGAAATTAATGGGCCGAACGATAAAAAGCTCGACGTTTATAGTAAATTTAGTAAAATTTAGCCAATTATCATTTCCGTCGATCCGAGTACCGGATTTTATGACTGCATTTCGCGGTTTAGGACTCTAAATTAAGAGACTTATTTCATCTGGCGTTCGTTAACTGTCGTCATCAATCTGAAAAACTTTATGGATTTACCTGCTTTTCCACTTAATTTATTTCAACTACCCAAGTTTGATCATAATTTTGGTTTAATAATTGAAATTAGAAAAGAAGACTTTTCCTGTCTCTTTCCATGGGACAGTTATTGCTCGGGGAAATCTCGAAATTGCCGCTAATCCTTCCGGAATCTGAGCTTTTGTTTCTTCGCATTGTTTCGCGAAATTAATAACCGAAAGATTTGCATAATTTTCAAAGGGGGGAAGTTCCCGGTGGGCCAATTATTTTTAATAACGGCGTCGCCGGAGCTTTGTTCGCGGTGACAAGACGTCGACCGACGCGCACCACCACCCTCAGTTGCAGCATTCAATTGTGCGAAAGCCAATTAGTTTCGTCCCACTAAAAAGGTAGTTTCAAAATGAAAAACGTCCACCTCGTTAAAAATTTTCGTTTAAATTTATACGATAAAATTAGTTTAGTCGTAATTAATTTATTTACAATATTAATTTACCTTTCCAAAGTTTGTTAGCCCTCCGTGTTCTGGTTTTCGTCCGGGCATGTCAGCATAGGAACAGTCAGCCCTATAATGAAAATACTATTTAACAAGAACCGAAACTACACGGTATAATGGACTTAAGATGAGCTTACCAGGGGGTGTTACATGTTGACGTCAACGTTAGGTATCGCACCCCAACGTGATATAACGTTCGTAAAACGGCCAAACTTCCGGCTAGAGAGTGTCCCCCTTCGACGCCAATTAATGAACACAATTGGTTTTTCTCGTACGCCGTCCGTATATCTGGAAATTAGAGGAAGCAATTTAGTTTTCTCCTCGTGGCGTTCACTTCATCGTCATCGCAGTGTTTCCACACGTCTACGTCTGCAGGGATACCGACAAGAAATAATTAAGTTTTGTTTCGGTGTGGGAATTCGTTTATATTACAAAAATTAAGTTTATTATTTTGGATACGTGATCTTGATAAAATTTTGGATTATTTCATTTAATGAAAAAGGCGAGTATTAATATTGAAGTATAAGGATTTTGTTGTGGACCATGGTGGATTTCGCATCTTCATCACGAACAGACCAGCGATATGAGTTGCTTTTTAAACGATATATTGTTTTAAGGCAGAACGTTTTAGCAAAAGTGTACTTCGAACGTTCTGATTCGTATTTAGACATCTTTAGAATTAGTTAAGAAGAGGCTTATCATATAATAACATGACTTTGATTACGTTTAGTATTGGTTGTGTGTAAAATCGAGCATGCCACATTTTGTGATGAGACTTGCTTTTTAGAAATTAATTTAGTTGATGGCAGAATGTCTTTGCATCACTGGAATATGCTGGAACGTTATGGTTATATAAACCTATAGCTGTTTTGTTTTCTAAAGCAATAGCAGAACTATTACGGTTCCTTAACTTCAATCCAGTAAGAATAATAATAACTATAAATTTAAACATTTCTATGGCATCGACTTCAGCACATGTCATTCTGATCGGTTTTTCTGTATTTTGTTGTTTTTCATTGTCGTCTCTAACTCGTTTATTTGTTTACTTTACAATAATATTTGCGATATTGTCAGATATAAAAAGTCTAAAAGGATCCAATATAGAACATACACTTTTTTTGGCACGATAGATTTCTTTACGAACCAACTAACTCACTTGCTTTATTCCTAATTTGTATGAATTGTCTTCAATTTCATCCTTACTAAATTTACAGATACTGTGTGAGGCGCTTTACTACATGGTTCGTCCGAAAGTAACTCGCGATGGGTGTAATAACTACATTCATCAAATTTTCGTATTTTTCTCGGTATCTATTTATCTGAGAAGAAAAATGCGAGAGAGCAATATTGTTAACAATTAAATTTGCAACAGCTTTTGTTCTAAAAGTTTTTTTGTAATATGATCCGTTTCCAAAATGTTACCATTAACTTGTAAAATAACGAAATTCATCAAATTTTCATATTTTTCTCCATATCTATGTTTCTGAGAGCAAAAATGTAAGAGAGCAACATTGTTAAGAATAAAATTTGCTACACCTTTTGTTCTAAAAATTTGTTGATAATATTATCCGTTTCCAAAATGTTACCATAACTTGTAAAATAACGAAATTCATCAAATTTTTGTTTTTTCGTATTTTTCTCGGTATCTATTTATCTGAGAGGAAAAATGCGAGGGAGCAATATTGTTAAGAATTACATTTACAACAGCTTTTGTTCTAAACGTTTTTTTGTAATATCATCCATTTCTCAGGTGTTACCATTAACTTGCAAAATATCGGAATTCATCAAAGTTTCACATTTTCGTATTTTTCTCAATATCTATGTATCTGAGAGCAAAAGTGTAAGAGAGCAATATTGTTAAGAATAAAATTTGCCACACCTTTTGTTCTAAAATTTTTTTTATAATATTATTCGTTTCCAAAATGTTACCATAACTTGTAAAATAACGAAATTCATCAAATTTTCGTATTTTCGTATTTTTCTCGGTATCTATTTATCTGAGAAGAAAAATGCGAGAGAGCAATATTGTTAATAATTAAATTTGCAACAGCTTTTGTTCTAAAAGTTTTTTTGTAATATCATCCGTTTCTCAGGTGTTACCATGAACTTGCAAAATATCGAAATTCATCAAAGTTTCACATTTTCGTATTTTTCTCAATATCTATGTATCTGAGAGCAAAAGTGTAAGAGAGCAATATTGTTAAGAATAAAATTTGTTACAGCTTTTGTTCTAAAAGCTATTTTGTAATATGATCCGTTTCCAAAATGTTACCATAACTTGTAAAATAACGAAATTTATCAAATTTCCACATTTTCGTATTTTTCTCGATATCTATGTATCTGAGAGCAAATGTGTAAGAGAGCAATATTATTAAGAATTAAATTTGCCACAACTTTCGTTATGAAAGCTTTTTTGTAATATCATTCATTTCTCGAGTAGTACCATTAACTTGCAAAATAACGAAATTCATCAAATTTTCGTATTTTTCTCGATATCTCCGCATCTGAGTGCAAAAGTGCAAGAGAGCAATATTATTAAGAATAAAATTTGCTATAGCTTTCGTTCCAAAAGTTTTTTCGTAATATGATCCGTTTCCCGCATATTACCATTACGAGAACTAATAATAACAAATAAAATTGATTAAATTTTGCTAATTCTTGCCAAAAGTTTATACCCTTCTTAGAATTTTTAAATTTTCAATAATTACCTCTTATCGAACTCATAAAATGTTTAATATTGTCGACATTAATAATACAAAATAATATGTTAAGCAATACCCCTGGCTTTAACGTGTTGACAATAAATTAGAGGTGACATTACGGAAGATTCCCATCCGAAATTTAATCATAACGTCGTAAACAATTTAAAGCACAAAAATTCTCGGTTGTCCTGGGGAGTATACGATGCGACATAAATAACTAGGGCTTGGCAGAAAGGTCGCCCGTCGACAAAAGGTACTCAGTCGCTCGTCTAAAATTTCCACGCGTTGTAAATTTTTTTAACATTATGAGAAGCACGTAGTTTTTAGATAACCATTTCAAACAAAAACATTTTAATGAATTCAACACCTATAAATAAATAAATGAATAAATAAAAATGTAATAAAAAATATTGGTGAAAATTTTGTGTCAATAAAATTACATAACAATTTTGTGAAAAACATTTTAATGAATTCAATACCCATAAATAAATAAATGAATAAATAAAAATGTAATAAAAAATATTGGTGAAAATTTTGTGTTGTAGAAAATAAAATAAATTTCATTGTTTTAAACATAATCTATTTATTGAGATAAATAACTTACCTTGTGACGAAGTACATAAAGTTAACGATGGATTGTACATTTCTGTAAGTCTTCTAATAACATCGATTTGTTCCAATGTTAATTGAACGGCGTCTTTAAATTGAGAATCACACGGAACGTAAGCTGCCCAAAACTGTGAACAAAGAAAATGTTAAAAATCAGAATGATTTGGGAAATTAAATTAATTGATCGGATGTTAAAATACGAAAGCAGTGAAAACCTTGTTTTATTCAACCGAAGGGATTTATTTCCCTTCCGCTGGCTATCAGAATGAGAGGAAAGGTCCTTTTGTGTCGATCCGATCGGACAGCGGAAAAATCTTGTCCGTGATACGGCACTTGAGCCGGATTGATTCCCAAATTCGGTTCGGTTCACTTGATTTGTGCGATACGATTCATTACGGAGTTTCCTATTGACTTTTCTAGATCTAGTCCTACTTTTGCTTAACGAAATCGTTCTGTACCAACCTGAACCAACCGCAATTTAATAGATCTAAACCCGATTTCAACATGGTAATTGGCAAAACTTTGCTGGTTTCGATTTTTATCAGAAAATAAGGCAAAAATAAGAAAAATAAGTGTTGAATCACGTTAAATCAAGAAGTAAAGGAGAGTTTACAATATTAAATAGAAAAGTAAATAAATGTATTTGAGTAAACAACATGGGTGTGTTGACAGATTTGTTATTATAGTATTAAATTTTTAGTTGGCAAACAACCGGACTCGCTTGAAAACGGTGAAACCGTTTCCACGTTGTACGATGAAATATTTGTTTATCCCAAAAGTATTTATGCTTTCCCTACCTACATTACGTTAAAGTTGTGGTATAAATCAAAACATCTTTACAAATCCTAACCTTTACAAAAATAGAGATGTTATGATCCAAAATCGATTATATTTTTAATTCGTTTACGATATTAAAAATCGTTTACGGATTTTTCTCGATATTTATGTATACGAGAGCAAAAGTGCAAGAAAGCAATATTGATAAGAATAAAATCTGCTACAACTTTTGTCCCGAAAGTTTTTTCGTAATATGATCCGTTTCCAAAATGTTACCATTAACTTGTAAAATAACGAAAATCATCAAATTTTCATATTTTCCTCGATATCTATGTATCTGAGAGTAAAACTGCAAGAGAGCAATATTGCTAAGAATAATATTTGCCACAGTTTTTGTTCTAAAAGTTTTTTTGTAATATGATCCATTTCCAAAGCGTTACCATTAACTTCTAAAATAACGAAATTCTTCAAATTTTCATATTTTTGTATTTTTCTCGCTATCTATGTATCTGAGAGTAAAAGTGTAAGAGAGCAATATTGTTAAGAATAAAATTTGCTACAGTTTTTGTGCTAAAAGCTTTTTTGTCATATGTTTAGTTTCTAAAGTGTTACCATTAACTTGTAAAATAACGAAATTCATCAAATTTTCATATTTTTGTATTTTTTTCGATATCTGTGTATCTGAGACTAAAAGTGTAAGAGAGCAATATTGATAAGAATAAAATTTGCTACAGCTTTTGTTCTAAAAGTATTTTTGTAATATGAATTGTTTCCAAAATGTTACCATCAACTTATAAAATAACGAAATTCATCAAATTTTCATATTTTCGTATTTTTCTCGCTTTCTACGTATCTGAGAGTAAAAGTGTAAGAGAGCAATATTGTTAACAATAAAATTTGCTACAGCTTTTATTCTAAAAGTTTTTTTGTAATATAAACTGTTTCCAAAATGTTACCATTAACTTATAAAATAACAAAATTCATCAAATTTTCATATTTTCGTATTTTTCTCGCTTTCTACGTATCTGAGAGTAAAAGTGTAAGAGAGCAATATTGTTAAGAATAAAATTTGCTACAGCTTTTGTTCTAAAAGTTTTTTTGTAATATGAACTGTTTCCAAAATGTTACCATTAACTTATAAAATAACGAAATTCATCAAATTTTCATATTTTCGTATTTTTCTTGCTTTCTACGTATCTGAGAGTAAAAGTGTAAGAGGGCAATATTGATAAGAATAAAATTTGCTACAGCTTTTGTTCTAAAAGTCTTTTTGTAATATGAACTGTTTCCAAAATGTTACCATTAACTTATAAAATAAGGAAATTCATCAAATATTCATATTTTCGTATTTTTCTCGCTTTCTACGTATCTGAGAGTAAAAGTGTAAGAGAGCAATATTGTTAAGAATAAAATTTGCTACAGCTTTTGTTCTAAAAGTTTTTTGTAATATGAATTGTTTCCAAAATGTTACCATCAACTTGTAAAATAATGAAATTCGTCTAATTTTCATATTTTCGTATTTTTCTCGATATCTGTGTATCTGAGAGTAAAAGTGTAAGAAAGCAATATTGATAAGAATAAAATTTGCGACAGCTTTTATTCTAAAAGTTTTTTTGTAATATGAACTGTTTCCAAAATGTTACCATTAACTTATAAAATAACGAAATTCATCAAATTTTCATATTTTCGTATTTTTCTCGCTTTCTACGTATCTGAGAGTAAAAGTGCTAGAGAGCAATATTGTTAACAATAAAATTTCCAATAGCTTTTGTTCTAAAAGTTTTTTTGTAATATGTTTCGTTTCCAAAGTGTTACCATTAACTTGTAAAATAACGAAATTCGTCAAATTTTCCTATTTTCGTATTTTTCTCGATATCTATGTATCTGGAAGCAAAAGTGCAAGAGAGCAATATTGTTAAGAATAAAATTTACGATGAAATATTTATTTATCCCCAAAGTATTTATGCTTGCCCTTTAAAGACCAATTCTATTCTTTACAAAAATACACATTTTATAGATTTTATGATCAAAATAGATTGTATTTTTAATTCGTTTACGATAGATTGCGAATAAAAATCCCAAATTGGTGTAAATTCGGGAGTACATTTCGATGGCAAATGTTATTGTGAAAGCATTGCGATTGTATTAGGAGCGAGGAGCACGGGTTTTGGTATATTGTGAATTATTGGAACTAGAACTCGTGCAATTCCCGACGGAAAGCTGGTTAAATTTTCGCCCGCTTTTCAATTGTGCGACAGCGAAACACAACGCAAATCGGTCGGACACGCGTACACATGAAAAACCTATTCAATTTGCCCGAAAATAAAGTTGATCTTTCGAAAGCATTATTGTGTTGTCACGTTTACTGCCAAAAAGAGTTGGGTGATTTACGTCAATTGAGAGCTTTTGAAAAAAAAATGAATTAAATTAATCAATAAACATTGGGTGAGAATATTTTATTAATTAACTAAAAATGTTTAAAAAATATAGATGTAAACGTGTAATTTGACCAGAGTGACATTGATGAATGGGTCAATCCATCAATTTGTACACTGTTAGTAACACATAAACAAAGCTAAATAAAAGAATTTTTTTAAATTCCAATATGCAGTACTAGGAGGTTCAGCGTTAATTCTACGTCACGAACGGGCCTTCGAACACTATCTTCTCCCTATTAGTCCGTTATATCTAGGTTTTACTGTATTTTTAACTACTATTCCAATTAAATTATCAATTGTAACATAATTTCGCTCCATTTTAATTAGATTTTGAGAGTAAAGTTACGATTTCATACGGTTTTCCGGCAGTAATTTCTCTCCGGGTTAATGCATTAGTCAGAGAGGGCGAGAAATTCCTTCGGTTGCTCTGCCGAGCGATGGCGCACCATAATGCAATTGCGGAGTTAAATCCACTACTTTGCGATTAGACGACGAGGCGGTTCTCTTTCCTCCTCGGCGTCGTTGGGTTTAAGGCGAAAATATTAACCCCCCTCGACTTAAAAGTTAAATGTAACGGCATTTGTCTGGAAAACCGAAGACACGCTCTAAAACCGCTCTCAAAGTTCTCCGAGCACAGTTCGGTTCGTCGCGACTCCTCGGTTGGGAAAAAGTTAGTTCTCGTCGCGTGTTTGCGTTCCAATAAAAGAAACTGATACGAAAGAGCGTCGAAAATCGACAAAGTTTTCTTTCTACCCCGATCTCATCCATTTGTTCCAACCCGTTGTCGAACAACGACAAAGCTAACCTTAAAATAGTTTTCTTCTAATGCTACTTTGAATATCGAATTTCAAATCGATATCTAAAAAAATATTATTTGACATTAAGTTTTTTAAACCTTGATATTCATCATCATAGTGTAATCTTTACTATTATTAAAATTTGGAGCCATGCATTTAAAGGTTTTCTTAGAAATCACGTTCTCTTCTAAGGTGTTATTTCCTCCATTCTTGGAGTGAGTTAAGGGTTGTAACAATTACTCTGAAACTCCTGGTTCATCAGTTGTGTTAATATTTATGATAATCTTCGTTAAATTTGTCCATTTCTCAATGAGGTTATATCCTGAGGTCATTAGGGCAAAGCTCTAATGAATTTGTTTGGTCCAAATAATGAGTTCTTAAAATATTAGGTTCCATCATCAAGGAATATTTTGATATTAAATGCACCAATAACTTATTTTGCAGTTTGCAAACTTTTTGACGGAGAGAACTAATACTAGATTGAGAACTAGAAACATTTGGATTTAGCCGCACATCTAGCAAGATGGCAAAAGATTAATAATTTCCTAGAAAAATATTAGAAAATTGAGAATTACATCAAAATTGTAAAATTTTCTCTTAAAAGTAAATAGTTTAGTCAGCATGCAATATACGCTAACCCAATTTAATATAAAGCTTGAAAGTTTTATCTCAACCCATCCCCAGGGCAATATATCCCCTCCAGTACATAAATGATAAAAGTCCAAGTTATTTTCCATGGGAAAAGTATCGGCATTTCCTGGCACACAGTTTATAACCTTGAAAGAAATTCCATCGGTCACTCGGCGCCGTCACTTTTTTCATCCTCCTCGATATATTGATCGTGTGTGGGTAAAATGGGTTTTCGAGGTACGCGGCTTTCCATCCCGCGGACTTTTCAACTTGTGGCACGTTCCTTACGTACATTTCCCCAGGCTTATTGAATAACTTCCGAGTCCGCGGTCCGAGCTTCCAAACGTCAATCCTCCTATATGTGTAGACGCCCTTAGTTTCCTTTACTCCGGACTTTTTCGCTGCTTTTGACGAATAATCGCCGGGTTCAAAACGGTTTGGTTCCATGCAAACTACCTAATTAGCGAGGACCGGCCGTTATTTTAA